AATTTGTCCAAGAAAGCACTCTGACTCGGCTGACTTCAACCAAGAACCATTTCACATTTCTCCCTCTCCAACTTGCCCCACCCCACCCTGGGTTGATGCAAGAAAAATAATTTTCCCCCAGCTGCAGTGAATGAAAGATGGACTGACCACAGACTGCCCTCTGCTTTTCTGTGGTCCTGGAACAGTCCTTAGGCGCTCAGTCAATATAGTGCAAGTACACCCTAATGATGTCCCCTTTGTCCCTCTACCCAGAAAGGAAGAACGGGAGGGCTTCTGGAGTCAACCAGGGTTATATATGTTAATGGCCTCTGGGGTCCCATTGGCCTCAAGAGCTTTATGTAGGTGATTAACTTCACATATGGGATATTTGTGGGGTGGACCAGAGAGTCTGATGCTGTTCTTGGTGCTTTCCTTATTCTTCCTTGCTGAGTTGCTAAGGGACATTACTATTCATTACATGAAGAGATGCTCTGCGCCTACCTAAATGATTGATGGCTGGGGCCGGTCAACTTTTGTTCTTTCTTGTTTTTATGAGACATGGGATTGGAGGAATGTAGAAAGCATTCTGATGCCCCTCTCATCTCTTCATGTAGGAGTTCAGTTCAGGTATTTTCCAAGAGAGTGAGCACATGCACACATAGCTAAATGTGCAGGCCTCTCTTACCCTGTATGTGGACCTACATCAGCAGCTATGTGGTATGTGTTTTGTCTATATCTCTTCCTTGAAGTTGTTAATAATAACAAGAACAACAGCGGCTAGCATTTATACAACATTTTAAGGTTGGCGAAGCACTTCACAAATATCTCATTTGATCTTCACAACAGCCTTTCGACGTAGGTGTTATTATTATCCCCATTTTACAGTGTGGAAACTGAGGCAAACAGCAGTTTTTAGTGACTTGTCCAGGGCCACACAGCTAGTAAGTGTCTGAAGCCAGATTTGAACTCAGATCTTCCTTACTCCAAATACTCTATTACTATACTATAATTTCCCTGAGGGCAGGCGCTGCATCTTATATCAGCTTTGTATCACTCTTATAACCTAACACAGTGCCTGGTACACACATATTTAATAAATGTTATAATTATAGATTTAGAATGGATTAGAATCTCAGAGATCATCTGTTTTAAACCTCTCAGTACCTGGAATTAATCTTTTTTCGTTTTCTTCCTACCCAGCTGATCACTTCTCAATTTCCTGGTTCATCATCCATATCCTATTTGCTAACTATCAATGTGTTCGAAGGTTCTGCTCTGGGCCCTCTTCTCTCTCTCTCTCTCTCTCTCTTTCTCTCTCTCTCTCTCCTCTCTCTCTCTCTCTCTCTCTCTCTCTCTCTCTCTTCTCTCTCTCTCTCTCTCTCTCTCTCCTCTTACATTCCCCCATTCTTTCAGTTGGTGACCTCATTGGCTCCCATGGGTTTCACATGTACATACAGATGACTTCCACATATATCTGGCCCTGGTCTCTCTTCCTGGGCTGTAGGTCTGTACCACTATCTACCTACTAGACATTTTGAACTGAATATCCCTTGATCATCTCAAGCTCAACATATCTAAAAAAGAACTCATTATCTCTTCCAAAACTTGACAGGGTTTTGTAATCCACTGAACTTTCCTCTTTCTGTCAAGGGTACCACCATTCTTCTAGTCACTCAGGTTCACAAACTCAGAGTTATTCCCAACCCCTCATCCCCCCTCACCTTTTATATTGATTCAGTTGCCAAATCTTATCCTAGAATTTCTACCTCTACAACCTTTCTAGCATTTGTCCCCTTCTCTTTATTCAAACAGCCACCGCCCTAATTCAGACTATATCACTTCTCACCAGGACTATTGAAATAACCTTCTAATTGCTCTTCCCATCTTGAATCTCTCTCTACTTCCATCCACTCTCCACATGGCTTCCAAAATGACTTTCTTAAAGTGATGATCTAGCCATTTAATTACCCCACTTAGTGAACTCCAATGGTTTTGTACTGTCTCTAGGATCAAATATAAACTCCCCTGTTTGACATTTAAAGCCCTTCATAATCTGCTCCCAATCAACTTTCTAGCCTTAATATATCTATATGTATCTATGTATCTATGTATACACACACATACCTATAAGCATATATGCATATACATACACACATACACATATACATGTATTACTTCCATTCCCATATTCTATTTTCTAGCCAAACTGGCTTTCACACACTGGTCCCTCTACTCCCATTGCCAAGCCTTGGCACTCTCTGTGCCTGGAATGCCTTTTTGTCCTCACCTCACCCTTAGAATCCCATTTCCGTCAAAACTCAGCTCAAATGCCACCTTTTACACGAAACCTTTCTGGACCTTCCAGCTTCCAGCGCTCCATCCCCCTTCCCAAATTACCTCGTGTATATTTTGTATATAGTTATGTATGTGTGCACGTTGTCTTCCCTGATAGAATGTAAACTCCTTGAGGGCAGGCACAGAGTAGTTTTCGTTTGTATCCTGGTCACCCAGGACAATATCTAGTACATAGCGGGCATTTAAGGAATGCTTGTTGATGACTGATTTTGCAGATGAGGAAACTGAGGCCCGGAGAGGTTAAGTCAAGGGCCATTACACAGGTAATAAGTGGCAGAAGCAAGATTTGAATCCAGGTTCTCCTGACCTTACACCTAGCCATTCTTTTGGCGGTGGCAGGTTGTTCACTCTGGACCATACAATAGCCACTGATGACCAGCCTGCAGGATGACGGTGCAACGAGTGTTTGTTCCATGGAAACTTCCCCCCTCTAGACTACACAGGCAGGTTTCTGGGGAGAACACTCAGAGGTCACTTTGAAAGCAAACTGTGCTTTGTATTTACAATGTTGTCTTCCTCTAGGCAAGGCTGGGAACCATTTTCAAAGATCATTTTTCTGAATCCAATTCTGCTTTTGCCCTCCCCCTCCCCCAGTGTCAGCTTCAGGTCTATTTTGGAACAAAATCAAACATATGCACCAATGAACAGTAGTCCAGAACCCCCACTGCTTCAGAGTCTAGCCACCTGCACTGCTTTGTCATTCACCCAGATGCCACGCTGGTTTCCCCATACCTCTCCTCTGCCTCCCCCACCAAAGCCCTGTGACAGGATGGGCCCAAGCAAACACTCAGACATTCAGCCTCCATGCCATAGGAGTCAGCTGGGTGGCTAGACTCTCTGAATTTATGGAAAAGATGCTAGCCCTAAAGTCAGAAGACATAGGTTCAAATCTTGCCTATGACACTTAATACCTATATGAGCACAGACAAATCACTTAGAGTCCCTGGGCCTCCCTGTCCTCATCTGTAAAATAACAGGGTTGGATTAGTGGCCTTCTTGAGATACCTTCTAGCTTGAAATTTGTGATCTTTTGATTTATGTCTAAGCTGGGAGGGATTGAGCAGAGGCATTTATCTCTAATGGACAATGAGTTTCCTTTAGTAGCTGGACCTTTATTTCTCCCAAATGAGATCTGGGATAATCATCTGAGCCAAGAGCTTTAGTGACACACAGAAGGGAAAACATTTTCCAAACCAACTTTCATCTTATAATGAGCCTTTCCTTCTGCTTGTGAGTCTTCTATCTCCATCTGACAAGGCACTACCTGAAGGCAGGACTGTCTCCTCCTTCTGGATTTCCCTGTAATCCCTTGCATAGGATCCTACAGACAGGGGGACTTTTAAGATGTGATGTGGACTCTCAGACCGATCTTGAATTTATATTAGCACACGGTCTTCTGGCTGGAAGTGGCCCCTTGCTAGCTTATCACTTTCTCTTCTGCTCTAGTCACTGAGGAGCTGGACACACCATAATACTACAAGGTAAGGAATTTGTCTAGTCATTGGCCCTGGCAGGCATGTGCCTCAGTACTGGAGGACATCCTCCCCTACGCCAGAGTTGCAAAAAGTCAACCACTTTGGGGCCAAAAGAGAAATGCAAAATAAGCCCCAAACATAGTCAACAGACTGGGAAAGTCAAGAAGTGAGGACAGGACAGAAACTGGACTTTGTTGCAGCTGCTAGGAGGGTAAAGCATTATCCTGAGACCCCCTCATATCCAATGGGCAGAATTTTCAAGGTGGCGGGTTTTTCTGAAAGTCTTACCCATTGGATATAAGGGGATAACTGGATCCAATGGACAGAATTTTCAAGGTGGCAGGTTTTCTTTTGATGGTTCTAGCAATTAGAGCTTGTCCAAAAAAGGAACGGGATTGCTTTGTTAGCAATGACAAGCAGAGGCTGGATAGAGGATATTTATGTAACATGTAAGAAATTGTGCCAAATGGCCTCTCAGGTTCCTTCCAACTTTAATATTCTACAGAAAGGCATTTTGGTACAGTAAAAAGAATATTAGCTAAGGAGGCAGAGGACCTAGGTTCAGATTCTGCCTCCAATAGTTCACCATATGTGTGATGTTGGGCAAGTCACTTAACTGCCCTATATCTCAGTTTCCTCAACTGTAAAATGAGGGGGTGGGGTTCAATGGCCTCTGAGGTCTCTTTCAGACCATGATCCATGAACACCATGATTCTGCACCATGGATAGCAACCAAATATGTGTGCACAAGGAAACAGTGTGTGTACAGTACCAAAGCGATACCTGGAGACAATAAGCAAACCTGCACACACCCACTCATGCATGTGTAAATACATACAAAACCCTTTTCAAATACAAGTGTATACCAAGCATTCTTCTCTGGCTTCATTAGAAAGCTTTTGGTTTCCTTCTACACCTCCAATCATGACTTGCAAGGTCAATATCATTAGTCCCCCTCCAAACTGCACACACTCCCAATGCCTCTTATTCCATCCTCTGGTTTTATTGGTTCCTCTCCAGTTTCTAGGAACCTTTAGGTTCTTGTAAGTACGACAAGAAGAGAAGACAGCCATGCGAGATCGGGGGTGGGGAAGTCCTAAATCTGCTCTCCATGACAAGTCAAGCTGGAGATGAGAATGGAATGCCTCATGCTTGTGGGGGGCAGCTCAGACTGGCCAAATCCCCTCTCACCTGAATCAGCGGTCTGAACAGTGATGAGGGAACTGGTGATAGCAGGCCTGTTTTGGGAATAAACCCGGAACGAGTAGTAAATCCCGGGATTGAGGTTGGTCACCGAGAAAGACTGGGCCTTAGAGTGAATTTTTTCTGACTGGTTGCCTGAAGAACAGAAATCTTAGGTCAGCTCGGGGGTCCTGGAATAAGCAGCTGGAGATATGGCATGGATCCCTGGCTCCCTGTCAAGGACAGGGCTGGGCCACTTACAGTTGGGATACCATGTAGGATCAGGGTACCCAGACGCTTAGGCCAGCCCCAAGCAGAGACCACTAGACTGACCAGATGAGTCCTTCCTGCCTCCGAGTGTTGACTCTTTAAGATCTACATATATCTCAACCCTGCAGTGAGGATGAAGGGGACGTTGTTCTCATTTCCAAATCTGTCATATTCCTTTGACTTTCTAACCCCAAACTTTTTTTTTTCTTTTGGTGTTTGGGGTAGGCTAGGGAGGAAGACTGGACCCATGATTTTACTGATATAGGGAACTGCCAGTGAGGAAACCCCATTCACCAATGCAGACTGGCACCTGCTTGGCAACCTGCAGTCTTAAGAGACTAGGCCATTGAGAGTTTAAGTGACTTGCCCAGAGTCACACAGCAGTATGTGTCAGAGGTGGGGCTTGAAGCTGGGTCTTCCCAACTCCAAAGCCAGCTCTTCATAACCCCAACTTTACCAACAATATTGATCATGGGTAATCCCTCAATCTCATTTTGGCAACCAGTTTAAGACAACCAACTCTCCATTATCCAGGGACTGATGATCCTGTGTGGTATATAGATTAACCAAACCTCTGTGCCTTCCCACCTTCTACCTCTCATCCTTTGCCTTTTGGCTGCTCAGATGCAATGCCTAGAAGGACTGGTAGAGAGGCTCTTTTTCCTAAATACCACCAGGAGTGAGTGAAAGGGAAAGGGCAGGGAGAAGAGAGAGAGAGAGAGAGAGAGAGAGAGAGAGAGAGAGAGAGAGAGAGAGAGAGAGAGAGAGAATGAGAATGAGAATGAATGCTGGGGAGGTGGTGTTGGTAGAACTTTGAAAATATAAACAAAATGAGAGATTTGGAATCATCTGTGGATTTAAAACTCCCCATTCCCCTTGACTATATATGGCAAAGTTGGCTGTGATTTATTCTCTGTTTGTACCTGGGGTCCTCTCTGGGGAGGTTAGATTAGTTAGAGGATCCCTATAAATGAGACCATGCTCCTGGGTTTGACCACCTGTGGACAAGTCAGCTTCATATAGAGTATAAAAGTCTGTCCCCTGGTCACAGGCAACAACCCGGAACAGCTGGGGAGACCTAGATAGTGAATGTGGCTAGGTCTAGGCAGGGGCTAATCCTTTTCCTTTCCAAAACAATTTGCAATCTACTGAGGGCCATTCTTTTTTTGTGTGTGTGGGAGAACACTTTCCTTCCCAGGACCAGGAGCCTGCCCTATGGGAACTTAAGAAAATCCTGACTCTCTGATCCTCAAGGAGCCCAGTGCTAAGATCAGATTTAGCTTACGTGGGGCTCATGGCCTAAAAAAAGGCCTCATTTCAATGCAAGGAAGAGACCCTGGGAAGGGGTGGTGGCCCATGAATGCCTCACAGACTTCTAAAGACTTCATCAGCCTTGTGCTTTTTTCTTCCTGACTACCATTCCTATTCCTCCTTCCCCCCTTTCCTAACCCAGCATATATATTGATTTCACTAGGCCATAATTAACCCCAGGCTAAAAGGCCTCTCTGAGCCCCCGAGACTTAGAAGGATCTTTTAAATGGCATCCACCACTATCCCCCTGCTGCCAAGCAGGCCAATGCTTACTGTATGAATACTCAATCACAAAGTCAGTTCCTGGCTCGAGATTGTGGTCCCATGTGAGATTGGCCGATTTACTGTTGGCCTTCACCGTGAAGTTCCATATGGACTGTCCATAGGGGGCTGGTGAATAGGTTAGAAGAGGAGTTAGTAATGATGGGGGGGAGGCAGGGCTGGGCACACGCACAGGCCAGGGTCTGCTGGGAAAGAACAGAGAATCAGAAATTGCCTGGTATACATGGCTCCAACATCATTCTAAGTCTCAGCCTTGGGTGGCTGAAAACCAGTGGGGCCAGTGTGTGTTAGAGAGCATGCAGGCTGACCCTGGTGTGGAGGGAATAGCCACCCCATGGATAGCTGGAGAGCCTCTACATGATGCAAATGGGGATTAGATTCAAAGCATGGTGTCTTATTCAAATCTCCCTATGGTGCCTGGATTCAGCTCTGGAAAGGCCTGGATCTCCAAACAGGTCCCTCTTCTCAGAGTAAGAGGGAAAAAGTCCCCCCTTTGCCTGGGTTGGGCATAGAAGGTGGTATTCTTTGTCCTTAAAACTATTAAAGTTTTTTTGTGATGGTCAGAGTGGCTGCTTAAATAGAAAATGGAAGTCATGGTCTGCGATGGGGTGGGAAGTGACAAGGTGGAGGGTGTTTTCTTAGGTGGGAGGTGTGAATGGGTGTATGAAGGGGGAGGGGGAGGGGGCGTGACGGGAAATGGAAGGCTTTTCTGGAGTACAATTTGGCAGCATGAAAAGCTATCCAAGTAATCATTCTTTGACCCAACAATTCCACTACGGGGAGGCCCCCAACAGTGTAAGTGAAGCAGCAGCAGCAACAAAAGAACTATCTTTTCAAAGACTTTCACTGTAGGTAACTGTAAACAAGACACAGCCTAAACATGCAACAATAGGGAAATGGTTAAAAGAATTGCAGGATGTTAATGGAATGGAATGTTTCAATGCCATTAAGAAGGGCAAGCAGGAGGAATACAAGGAAATCTGGAATGGCCTTTATGAAATAAGGCAAAGCGGAAAAAAAAGCAGACCTAGAAGATGGAGGATGCGATTGTAGGATTACAATCATAGAAGGAGAAATGAATGAAGTTGGACAAAGAATCCTAATGGGGATTTGGAGTGAGGGACTCACAAAGCATCATTATGCTACTTTATGACTGGAAAGTCATTAATTTAAACGCAAATAGTAAATTTAGTTGTTTGTATTGATGTTTGATGTTTGTAATAAGACATTTAAACCTATTTTTAAGGGAAAAAAACCCCAGAGGCACACTAGGAGAAAATCCAAACCAGACAGGCCTGAGAGAGGGCTACTCTGGTTCAGAGACACCTTGGGAGATTCTCAATCTAGCATACCTGCTCACAGGGTCAACAGCCATGAACTCTGCTCCCTTCCTACTCATCACTCAAAGGTTTTCCAATGGTCTGGAACTACACTTTAAAAGATCTTAAACCTATCAGCAATTCCTCTTTCCTCCCAGACCACCTTGAGGCTGGCCCAGAACATCTCCCCTTTCTGGAATCCTTTCCACTCTATTGGATTCTTCCCACTCTAGCTTCTTAAGGCGGGGGTGGGTGTGGGTGTGAGTGGGTATCCTTTCTATGAATTGGACAAGGCATCAATTACCCAGCTCCTAATAGCTGGGAGCTCCACTATCAAAGCCACTGCATCGAAGACATCACTAATCTTCAAACACAGTCATTTTTCAGGAGACCCGGCAGCCTGATTACCCCATTTCCCAGCAAAGATTTAATAGTAGAATGCTAGCACGAAGCCTCATATTTCAAAGACTTTACAAGCGTAGCTCCTGTATATTTTATTAGCATGCAAGGAGGTACTGTCACCTACTCACTTTTCAAAAATAAATGAACCGAGTGCACTCAGTACAGGCTGTGTGGCATATAACTCAGCTTGTAGGGTTCAGATGTTACAACGGGCTTTCTGGTCTTTACTAAAGTAATGCCCTTGCCCTGAAGCCTGGAGGGTAGCATTTGCCCAAGGTGAGCAGCAGTTGATCCTGGGCAAGTCACCAGAAATTTGGTTTCATGGCTAGAACAGCCAGGGACTCTCCAGTGAGGTTGTCAGCCTGGTCCAAGTTCCATACTCCTCTTCAAGGCTTTTTGCCTGAAGTGGCTGCCTCAGGCAAATCTCAACTCTGAATTTTATGCCTTCAGGAAGGTCATAATAAGAGCCCCTTCTCATTTCTGGTGATAGCTGGAGGGGCATGCTTTCTATGGCTGGGGTAAGGATGTACATTTGACTAAATGCCTCCAGGCAAAGTTGAGGGAGACCTAGAGTTGGTCTAGAGAAAAAAAAACAAAACTAAAATGATAAATGGGAATAGTAGTATTTGAAGGGCCGAGGAGGGATTCTCCAGGCCTGGAAAGATGAAGGTGGGGGAAAAACATCATCAAAGTTTATGGATCACAGAGGGTGATGATAAGAAGGTGAACTCAGACTAGTTCACCAAATTTCCAGAATCCCAGAACCAGAGAGGTCCCCCTGGAAGTCTGAAAGGAAGTTTAGGACAAATGAAAGTAAGTCCTTCTTCAAACAAGTCTATGGAACTTGCTATCTTCCAAGCAGTGGTTCAAGATGAAAGTGGAAATAGTTCCCAAAAGGCTGAGATGAATTGGTAGATGAAAGAGCCAGATTGGGGTATGAAGAGAGATTAGGATATTTGGAAGACGTTTCTAACGTCTGAGGCTGGGTGGAGGGGAGGATAGCCATGCTTTCCCATAACAGGTCCCCAGTGGCTCTGTCACAGATGGAGCCCACACCTGGAGGTCCACAGTCTTGGCCCATTATGGCACTGCTGACAATCTGATGTCACCAGAGGGCAAGGTAAAGTCATTCTTCCTTGCCACACTCTACGTGCCTTTTCTGAGAGCACAAGGTAATTGAATGATGTCAGGCTCAGCCTCAGCAACTGAACACTTCTTGCTATCACTCAAAAAACACACTAATCACCAATTAGCAGATGGCAGCTCCCAGTGATCTTAACAGGACCTTCCCCAGTCAATTTTTGTTCTAAAGGTCAACATCACTTCAATACTTCAGCGTTGTACTTCTGAACAGACAGCTTTTCCAAGGTCAAAGAAATGGTTAGTGTTGTAAACTTATTTTGAGTTAATATTTTTACTTGTCCTCTGAGAGCTTAAAGCATTTTACTGATTTATCCCCTCCCCCCAAAATCCTCATTGTATACAAGGCAGTGTGGTATAGCGATTAGAGCGGTCAAGAGTGGATTTGCAGTCAAGAAGGTCCTGTGGGGCTCAAATCCCACTTCTGTCACCTTCCTAGCACTGTGACCTGGGCCAGTGGATAAATCTTTATGTGCCTTAAGCAAATTCCTCTCCAGCTCCTCAGCACTCAGCACTGTGCCTGGCACAGCAACAATGCTTGTTGACTGAGTTCCACATGCTGGCAAAATCAGATTCTTCATATGAGGCATGGTGGCTGCCCTTGGTCAACCAAATGGGGGCTGGGAGCAGGGCAGAAAGACCCTGAAGGGTGAAGGTACTTGGCCCCAGGTCTCACAGCTGGTGAAGACTACAGCTGGGACGAGAACAGGCAGATCTGCTCCCCTTTTCCTTGGCTGCTCCCCTACCCCTACTCCCCCCCCAGCCTTACTGTCTGTCTCATGCTGACTTTCCAGCTGGCACATTGGCTCTATAAGCTAGAGACCCTTCTTTCTGAGGCAATAAAAGGCTGATGCTCAGTTAGAAGCATTGCTGAATTCCCCAAGGGGTTTCCTCATACTGGAAAAACAAAACTTCCCGTCATGACTCCTTTATGCCTTATCTCAGTCGGCTGGGTCTTAGGTTGATTTTTATGAGCAGTCACTAAAACGGCCATAATTTTACTTCCACGCGTTACAGGGTATGGGGGACATCAGTGGAAATAGCAGCTTAGCACCTTTAGTCTGTGATGGCTAAATGATACCATTCCCTGGAGCTCATATAATCGACTTTTTTAAAAGGAAAAGGGAGGGGGAAGATAAGAACCAGGGATGGCCCTATGAGGGGCACAGATCAGGCGCTCTGGGCTTGGGCTTGTCTTTTAGGGGATCGCTTTATACACTTTACAAGCCCCATTCCTCAATTCAGAGACACAGATGCTGCTGCTAAGTGAGAGGCAGTGGCATCAGAGAGCTTTGCTGCCTGGCTGGCCCTCTGGGGACGGGGCTCTAGGTTCTACCTGGCCTTGTGCCTTGAGAGGGTTCTTCTTTGCCTTGGGGTCTCGCATCTAGGATGTAAACCTCTCTCAGTTTGATTACACCTAGTGTCCAATGCAAACTCTGTGGCTTGAGACAGCCTGGACATGTCATATGAGTACACCCTGGGCAGGATTAGAAAACTATGCCTCCCTGCATGGTAAAGTTTCGCCAGCATATTTTACTGTTCATTGGGGGCTTTAAGCCTTTATTGTAATACATATCACATCACAAAATAAACACTTATGGCCCATGGAGTGTGGCATCTTCTGGCATTAAAAGTAGGCAGTTTTATTTAAAATTCTCATTTAAAAGCGACTTAGAGCTGGAAGGTACCTTAAGCCCAATCCTAGAAATAATATAGTCCTTTACAGATGAAGCCCAGAAAGGCAAGTGATTTGTCTAAGGTCATACAGGAAATAAGGAGCAGAACTGAGATTTGAACCCAGGACTCTGCCTCCAAATCCAGTGCTTTTCCTGCTACATCACACTGCCTCCCATTAATCTCCCTGGGTGTTGGGCTCTAAGTGGCTGCCTTTCTTGGCCCAGCTTTGGTCTGGACAACTGGGAATCTCTGGGTGAGCACCTGAGGCATCTAATTCCTTTATCACAGGCTAGAGAAGCTAGCTAGCTAGACTGATGGTGATCACAATGACAATAATAATAATAAAAATAAAAAAATAATAATAATAAATAATGCTAGCTCAGATTTATATAGTGCTTTAAGGTTTTGTAAAAAGGCCAGGAAGGGCGAGGGATTATGATGCAGGTGAGGCAGGAAGCCTAGGAACAGAATTCAGGTTCTAGGCCTTTGATACCTTCTCAGGACCAGGAATTCTGGGGCTTCCTGGATACCGACATAAGTCTAGTCCTTGGATACATGATTCCTTGAACCAGAAACCACTGAGGGGTGTCCATAAACATTAGACCAGGTCCTAGGAAGACTATGTATGTGTCTCTACTGAAGAGTAGAGAGAAGGGATGGGAAGGGGCAGAGGCTAGAGGGGGAGAGGGAAGTGTGTGTTCAGCAATACCAGTGTCCTGTATCTTAGTCACGGTGGTTGGAGGGCTCTCCGTGGTAGTGGTGGCGGCGGTAGTGGTAGTAGAAGCAGTTGGAGCGACGGTTGTGGTGGTGGTGGTGGTGGCAGCAGTGGTGGTAGTAGTGGTAGGTGCAGCAGTGGGGACAGTTGTGGCAGCGGCGGTGGTAGCTACGGCAGTAACAGCAGTACCGCTCATGGCACTTGTCTCACTGACTGCAGTTGGAGGCAACATGGTAGGAGCTGAGAGGGAAACGTAAAACAGCCGGGTCTGGTTGGTTTGGTAGCCTCCAGATTGGACATGCTCCCACAACCCTGCCCCAGGAGGCTGGAGGCCCCAGGGGAGGAGATGTGGCTTCAGGAGTTAAGATCCCCAAGTGAAACAAAGGGTATGTTGGATGAACCATAATGGCTGAGAACACAACCATGTGGAATGATGAAAATGAAGCCCAAGAGTGTGTTTCATTTTCTTCTGGATGGTCTGCAAGGCTCAAAGCACCCAGCATGCACCCAGCAAAGATGGGGGGAAGGAGATAGAGGATGCACAGAATCTCTTAGACCCGGGGGAATGTGAGAAATCACAGGGGAGAGCAGCCAGGAAAACCCAAGACCAAACCCAAGCAGGGGCTACATCCCAACCCTAGCCCACTCAGACAGTCACAGGGTAGCTAGGAAGGTAGAGAGATCCTCAGTTAGGTGGCCCCTGGGGCACATAGACAGTCTGCCACTCCCAGGGTACAGTCCCTCAGACAATTTTACTTCCTCCTCTTCCCCAAATTACGCTGTGACATGTCTCCTTTGGACAACAACAGCCTCAAAAACTGGGCTAAGAAATGGGCTAAGTTCAGAATTCTCTGGCTTCTGATGGACCTGCCTGCTGATACGAACTCTACTTTATGATTTTTGACCTCTCCCTGCCATTCTCCCTGATCCGAGGCAGTCCAAGATCACGTTACCCTTCTTGGTTTCCACATTCCTCTGCTGACTCAGGCTGAGCTTGCAATCCATTAAAACTCCAAAATCTGTTTCAGAACAACTGCTGCTGTTTATCCATACCCTAGCGCCCCGCTCTTTCTCCTCCACCCCCAATCTCATACTTGTGAAGCTGATTTTTTTTTGTAGTGTTGTAAGACTTTACATTTATACTTATTGAATTTCATCTGATTAGACCCAGTCCAATGCTCTTCCCTGTCAACATCCTGGCTGTCATCCATTGTGTGATTCTGTGAGAGGACTCTTCAAAAACTCAGTGGAAACTGGCCGAGACCACTGTGGTAAACAGCTCTGGGGCATTTTGAGGCCCTGTCACCCCTATAGGAATGATTTCAGTTCCTGCTGTGAGTGAATGGGAAGTATCTGTGGTTGGAAATCTTGGTGGTCAATGACTATCTCCCCATGGACTCTCCCTTCAATCTGAAGGAATGGAATTCACTAATGAGTCATGTCATGTTAGGCATCTACATTCCCTTCTCCTAGCCCTGCCTACCCCACAATGAGGACTGGAGAGTAGCACTAGGCTGTGGAGGAGCCTAGTGCTTTTCTAGATACTGGATGCAGCTGAAGGCCCGGGAATATTATAATATTCACCTCTTGTGGTCTCTGGTCCACTATCTACAATTTATGCCAGTAGGGGACCAGGAATGCCACCTTAAGATATCAACAGAGGCTGGGTGACTCTCATCTTCTTGGAGGCCCAAATGATTCCAAAGAATCACAAAGAGAAGAGCATGTGGATTGCCTCACCCTACCCCAGACTGCTAGCATCACACTGTCCTATGGAGAAGAAAATACTAGGCAAGCCTCCCAGCTGGGTTGGGGGGCCTACCAGGGGCTTTTCCCTCTTGGCAAGAATTTAGGGATCTTGAGCCTTCTTTTCTTAGCCCTACTCTAAACAAAAGTCTCTTTCATTTGCCCAGGTCACCCAACTACAAAACTCTCATAGAAAAAAGAGAGGAGGTTCCTGGGGCCTGGAAGGCATGGCCACAGTTTGGAAGATCAGAAGTGTTTATTGGGCCCTGAGGGTGTAGACCACAAAAGGCCTACTGGGAGGTCAGCCAGTGATTTCAGATTCCATAGATTCTTCCTGAGGCTCAAAGCTGTGGCATTACACTCCCCTTTGTCCCAAATAACCCTCAGTCAATGGGAAAGTCTTAAAATACACACATACATATACATATATATTTATATACATACATACATACATACATACATATATATATATATACATATATATATTTCAAATCCCACTCTCATGCTGTCTTTTTAAGGACTGAATGAATAGCTACCCTTTGCCAAGGTCCCAAATTATAAAGCACTTTACATATATTATATCAGAGTAGAAATGTCAAGGATTCATACTGCACCACCTCCCTTCATCTGTGAAAAAAAAAACACGACTGGGAAATGCTGGAAAGCCAGGTCAGCTTTGCTCCAAATTTGGTAATTCCTCATTAGTAGTGGGACTCAGGTACCTCTGTGACCATTTTGTCACCAGCTGAGGGGTTAGTGGGGATGTTTGAGTGGTCATTTTGACCTCCAAATAAGACTGCCTCAAAACCTTACATTTTTAAATGATTTCTGGGATGACAAGCTTTTACAACCATCTGTCCCCAGGTTGGAAGTCACAAAACAATGGAATTTAATGACTCAGAGGTCATCAAACTCAGCCCATACATCTGAAAAAAGATGAAATGACTGGGGGCCTTGAGAAAGCAGAGGGTCAGTTCTTCTCCAAGTTTGACAATTCCTAATAGAATCCTGCCACACAAAGAGTAGGTCTCAAATACATCTGTGACCCTTGCATCCTGAGGCTGGGGGTGGGTGTGTAGGTAGAGATTCTTAAGTCTAACCCATACACAAGCAGAATAAAACAGTTTCAGAGTTGGAAGGAACTTCAGTGGTCACCCTGTCCAGTGGTGTCAAACTCAGCTCCTTGCCAGCCCACATATTTACTGAGAAAACCACAACTCAGCATTATCTATGTTGCATTGTATGTTTATTTTGTTAAACATTTCCCAATGATAGTTTAATATGAGGCAGCTAGCCCTGCAGGCTGTGAGTCTGACACCTCTGCTTAGCTTTATGCCTGTTGAATTTGTCCGGCTCTTACATGATTGGAAACCTCACTAGACATAGCTGACAAAGGTCTGCTGGAAGACTTCCCAGGAGGAGAAGCCCATCGCCTCTCAAGGCAGACCATTACATCTTTAGACATCTGTGTGAGCATGTTTTTCCTGATGCTTAAAAAATGATTATTTCAAACCAACTGACATGAAACCTATGTGGATCTCCTTGTAACTTCTACCCATTCGTCTCAGTTCGGCCCTCTGGAGCCAAACGGAACAAATGTAACCTTTCCTCTATATGACAACCCTTCAAATACTTGAAATCAAGTATCTTGCCCTCCCAGCTCAGCGGTTTTCTCTTCAGGCTGAACATACTCAGTTCTTTGGATTGTTCCTCCTATGACGTATTCTCGAGGCCCTTCCCCATCCTGGTCGCTCTCCTCTGAGCACACTTGAGCTTATTAATATCCTTCTTAAACCAAGGCACCCAGAACTGAACACAACACTCTCAATGAGGTCTGATGAGGGCACAGTACAACAGGGCTATCATATCTCAGTTCCTGGAAACCAGGCCCCTCTTAATGGAGTCCAAGATCATATTACCATTTTTGGCTTCCATATCTCACTGACTTGCTGACTCAAGTTGAGCTTGCAGCCCACTGAAACTACCAGATCTTTTTTTTTTAAGAGCTGCTGCTATCTATGTCCATGGCCCCATACCCTTTGATTTCACTATACTTGTGAAGCTGATTTTTCTTTCGTACCTAAGTATGAGATTTTACATTTGTCCCTACCAAATTTCATCTAATTAGATTCAGTCCAATGGTATAACCTTCAAAAACTCAGTGGGAACATGGCCAGGACCACTATAGTCAGCAGCTGTGAATCTGATTTTCATGAGATGCTTATTAGAAGTCATCATTATCCCAATGGGGCCAATTTGGGAAGGGAGCAATTTCCCCAAGAAAGGGGCTAGAGTAGGCATTCTAAACCTGGAGTCTATGAATTTATTTTTTTAAATATTTTAACAACTATATTTATTTAAAATTTAATATATTTTATTTCCCCCCAACTACATGTGAAAACATTGATAACTATATTTAAATATAGTTGTCTTCCTTTATAATCCCACATATTTTATTTTATGTGCTTAAAAGAATCATTCTCGAAAGGGGATCATAAGCTTCTTCACACTGAAAAGGAGTTCCTCACACAAAGGGTTTAAGAACCCATAGCCTGGAGATAACAAAACAAGAAAGGGACAGAGGATTCAGACACAGACTCCCATAGAATCTCAGAATGGGGAGGGAGCTCAGAGTGTATCCAGATCAGTCTGTAACTGAACAACAATCCCCTTTACACCATCCTTGACAAGTGGTCATTCAGCCTCCTCTCGAAAATTGGCAGCGAGTGGCTCAACCACCAGAGGCAGCTTGTTCCACTTTTGGAGTCAGCTCTACCCTAGAGGCAGCTAGATGGCACAGTGATTACAGAACTGAACCTGGAATCAGGAAAACCTAAGTTCAGATCCAGCCTCAGGTAGTTACTAGCTGTGTAATCCTGGGCAAGTCACTTTAGCTTTGTTTGCCTCAGTTTTCTCACCTATAAAATAGGGATAATTGTAGCACCTTATTTCCCATGGTTGTCGTGAGGATAAAATGAGATAATATTTGTAAATTGCTTACTACAGTGCCTGGAACATAGTAGGCATTTAATACATACTGGTTTCCTCCCTCCCTCCCTCCCTTCCTTCCTTCCTTCCTTCCTTCCTTCCTTCCTTCCTTCCTTCCTTCCTTCCTTCCTTCCTCTACTTACAGAATTAAAGAATTTCAGAGTTGGAATGAACCTCAGTCCATTGGTTCATTGTACCTGTCTCCCCTTTCCTCCCCACCCCCACCCCAACCTGTGAGTGTGCCACAAGGCACTGTCCTGTGCCTTATCTCTTTCAGTCTCATTGGCTCCCATTCTCTACGTAGATGAATCCCAGATCTACCTAGCTAGACCTAATTTCTCTTCTGAGCTCCCACTCTGCCCACTGTTTATTGACTATATATATATATATATATATATATATATATATATATATATATATATACATATATATATATATACGTATATATATATATATATATATATATTACATATGTGTGTCATAGGCAGCTCAAACTCCACATATCTTTCTCCCCAAATCCACCTCTCTCCCTAATTTTCCTGCTTCTATTGAGGACACGGTCATCCTTCCAGTCATCCAGGTTTACACCCTCCACCTTGTAACTCTTTACTTTCCCTCACCTCGCTTCCCTTCCAGCCAATCAGTTACCAAGTCTTATTGATTCTACCTCCATGACATCTCTTCCATCCATTCCTTCCATCCCCTTCACCCCACCCACATGGTCTCCATTTCTACTTCAGTTCTCATCACATCCCATCCGGACTATTGAAATAGCTTCCTAATTGGTCTCCTTGCTTTCAGTCTCTTTTCACTAGTCCACACAGCTGCCAAATTACTATTACTAAAATACAGGTCTGAACATGTTATTCCCCTGCTCAAAAAGTTCCAGTGATTCCCTACCCTCTCTAAAATAAAAGACAACCCCCTCTCATTGGCATTTAAAGTCCTTTGGAGTCTTTCTTCAGCTATCTTTCTAGGTTTTTTTTTTTTACAAGCTCTTCCCCATCACATACATTATGTTTCCCCCAAAAGTTTTCTTTTGGCTGCTTGTACAGGAGGCTCTTTCCTGTCTCTGCACCTTTGAACAGCCTATTTGCCATCTGTGGAAAGTCCTCCTTCCTAATTCACCTGCCTAGGGATTCCTAGCTTCCTTTGAAGCTCAGCTCAAGGACCACTTCTTACATGAGCCTTTTCATGATTCCACAAGATGCTCCTGCTCTCCCAAATCACTTTGTATTTGTTTCCCACATATGTTGAACTTACTTGACCTGTACAAGTTACACCCCTCCCCCAATAGAATGTAAGCTCCCTGAGGGCAAGGACTGTTTTATTTATGACTTTGTATTTTCAGAACCTAGCACGATGCTTGGAGCACAGTGGGCTTGTGGATGGATCAAGCTGAATTGAAACTGAGATACATCAACCATGAGCTTCCCTCTGGCCTCTAAATTCATAAAATACTAAAGCTGAAAAGGGTCCCTAGAGGCTATCTAGTCCAACCCAGTCATTTTACAGATGACAATAATGAGGCAGAGTGGGCAAGTGACTTGTCTAAAATCACATAGCAAGAAAGTGATTGCAGCTAAAACACAAACTCACACATTGTGACTTCAGGTTCAGTGCTCCTGCCATTGTGCCCCCCCGCCTCTTTGGTTCCCTCTGCTTCTCCTTAGACTGGTCCTAGCACCAAATGGCGGCCCAAAACCCTATGCAGACATTATCTAAAGTTGAACTCTTTGGGAAATAGTGGGGGTGGCATGTGAAGTTGCTGGAGGGGAGGCACCAATCATGGGCTTCAACCCTGGTCTCTTTATTCCCAGTTGCCTCAGCCTAAGAACTTCCTGGTTGGTCCTAGGTGATTAGTGGAAGGAAGAGAGGGCCGACCACCCCGGGAGGAGATAAATCTCTAGCTGACAAAGAACAAGGCTAGAACACAAACAGAAGGAAGCAGGGAGATGCAAAAGCAAAGAGAATCAACCCAAATGAGGGTAGGGGAAGGGAGAAAGAGGGCAAATAACCCAGTGATAAAAGACCTAACTTGTCTCTCTGAGTGGGGTAAAGAATGTCCTCAAGGAAACTCTCCTCTTGGCTCCCCAATCTGCTCTTTCAGGGCTACCTCCTAAGGGTGTATACCCCAACTGGACTCTGTTGAGCCCTTCTCCCAGTTCCCCTATACTGCCAGCTCTGGAGCCATTTCCCTGATCCGGACCTATTCCTATTTCCTAGACAGTAAAACTGAGACTCAGATGGGAATTCAGGCCAAAGCAAGAGAAGGATCTCAGGAGACATTTGCCCCATTTTTCTAGCTTGGGTCCAGTGGAGGGCTCACTAAAATCCCAGAGATGAGAATTTGTAGGGAGAGATTGGGATTTGGCCACCCTAGCTATCATTTTGAGCAGACCCCACTCCCATCCCCAATTTCTGCTCCCTCCCATTCAAAATCTGCCTTTCAGCTGTCTAGATTGGAGGCTTCCTCAACCCTTAGAGAAGGTTGGCTTCCTGGGGAGGCAGAGAGCAATTATCACTCAGGGGCCAGTAGGACTGGAGCTCCCACTAAGATAGCAAGTCAGGGAGGGAAGGCCCTATTCGAGACTGCATTCACGTAGGCCTCAATGAGCCAGCCCCACAGTGAGTAGCAAAACCAGCACTGGTCACCCATGCAGCATGCATGGTCAGCATGCATACCACTCTTACCCCATTTCCCCCTTTCAGTGGCTGGAAACAAGACCAGGGTGGAAGGAGCCTCGGGTGGCCTAGTCCCTGACACCATTTGTGACCAGAGCCTGGAGAGCAATTCTCCTCTACACTCTGAGACAGCCTTCTTGGACAAGATGCTAGGCCCTCAGCCAAGCTTCTGCAATTCAGGGTCAGTAACTGTCAAGGTATAAAGCAGAGCAGCAGCAGCCCTAAGGTCTAGGGTTTGGAGGAAGAGGTCTGTCCTCTTCAAAGCTATCCTTTCTCAGTGGAGTATCTGGGACACTGATTCATGGCTTAAGTAGAGAGATTGTGTTAGGTGCCTTTCAATGCTTCCCTGGACAAGGCTCTTTCCTCAGGGCTTTGCCTCCAGCCACTGAAAAGGTCAATTGTGATCCATGCTTTGGCACTAGGTCCTCCCTGGCCTCCCCCACCCCTGTTCAGCCTGGGCTCCTCCTGCACCACCCCATGCCATGCTGGTTACCTCCTTGGCTGGTACGATACCTGGGGTTGGAGTAGCTTCAGAAACAGCACCCAAGTTGGGGGGGGGGAAGGAGAGAGAAAGGCAAGGGAAGGAAGAGAAAACAGAGGTACAGGTGAAATCACAGGACAAGCACATGGAGAAGGTCTGGGCTTAAAAACTGCCTGGTGGGACTGAGGGAGGACACTGGTCTGTGGCCCCCTTTCCATTTCAACCATAGGCCACACCCACATCAACACCAGCTAATACCTGGCAAATACTTGCAGGTTCCCCCAATCAGGTTGGAGGTCGCCCCAGCTTGGACGTGTTTGAACAGATTTCCTTCCTTCTGGGTTCTGGGCCATTTCATGAATTAGATAGTCATCTTTTGAGGAGCTGAAGTGGGGTATTGGTCTATTCCAGTGTTCCTCCAGTCCTGGCTCACCTTGGATTCCTTTTCCCCTCTCAGCTACGTGCAGATCTTTGAGGCCAGAAAGTTACAAGGCTGGGTCAAGAAGCCTATCCCACTTCTTGTTCTTATTGCCTATAAGAGTGCTGACCTGGTCGAGGTGGTTTGACTATGGTTTAGTGGGCTGGGAAAGTACTCCATGACATTAGAGAAATGGAGACACTACACTAAATGGAATAAATTGGGTTTTTTGGGGGGAGGGGAGTACAGCTAGCTTAGGCCACTCTCAGCTCATCCCTGGGTAGAACAGAGATGCTAAAAGTGGCTCTGGAGCTACTTTGCTTGTCTTCTGCCACTGGGTTTTCCTCTAACCCATTAGATTGAGGGCCCTAAGTTACAACTCAGGACTCATGGCAAAAACCCAAGCCTGAGAGAAGGTCTTGCTTTGTCCTCTTGTCCGCTAGGGCTGCTGAACTTCTTCTTTACTAGTCACTGGGTTTTGACAATGGGGCTTTCTCTGCTTTTCTGCATCTGATTTGGGGGGCAGCAGGAGGAGGAGTGTTTTCCTCCTCCTGGGTCCTTTTCTGATGTGGGCAATTAAGCCTGCATGCAGTCTCCACCTCCCCCCAGGAAATGTGCCTGCCAATGCTCAGGGGTGGAGTGACCAAGCCTTCTGCTGATCACTCTCTCTAATTTACAAGACCAGAGAGAGCGTTCCATCAACAGCCTGTTTCCAAGTCAGCTGTGTCCTCTGTCCCTCATCCCCTGCTGCTGCCCCAGAATTAGACTGTTAGGCAAATATAAAAAGGGAAGGATGCAGGTCCTATCAGGCACCTGGGGCCAAGTCAGTAGGAGCCAAAAAGCTCTTTTGGGGTGGGGATGAAGGTGGGTTCCAAGGAGTCCCTTAAGCCACATTTGTGGGATGTCTGGTTAAGTCCAAGGACACTGAGCAGGGAGGCTGGAAGCTTCCTGGAGCTTCTGTGGCAGACCTGGGATAGTGGTCTCTGAAAGTACAGAGGATGCTCCTCCTCTATAGACTGAATTGACAATTTCGTGGCTTCAAGAGCCTCCCATCTCCCCTATTTCTCTCCTGGATAAGCTCCTTTCACCAGGGAGAGTGGCGGCTCTGAGGCTGAAGTCCTATGTGGACAGCTAAGCAACAGTTGCCTCTAGTGAATTGTCCCTGAAGACACAGCTTGGTTCTTGGGGCCCCAGGTGGTGTTCAGCCAAGCTCATCCTGTAGGGCAATGAAACCAATGCTAGTACCTTGAGCTACTAAATGATTTGGGCTTTAAGGGAAGCTAGCTTGGGGGATGCCCATCCCCCCAGCCCACTTCCTCCTACGCTTTCTTTGCCCATTAGGATGTGAGCCCTTGCCTTTCTTTGTCTCTCCAGTGCTTAGCACACTACCTGAGACATAGTCTGCATTTAATAAATGCTTGTGGACCAACCACTCTCTCTTACCCAGGTTGTGGGGCTGCCTACATCCATCTCTTCCTGAAGAACACCTATAAAAGGAGACATGCAGCCCAGACCTTCAATCTGAGCCCATCACTGCTTCCTGTCCATTCCATTCCAAGGACTCCCAGAACAAAGCCAGAGTTGATACTCTATGAAGAAATCTCTGAGCTACAGGGTCCTCATGGATATTATTATCACTATTGTTACATTCTTAGTTGACTGAGTACACATATTACCCACAGCATTCCTGTAATACATTTACTTCCAAAGCATCTTGCCTTATATATCAATGCATTTCATCCTCCTGATATCCCTGTGAGAGAAAATAGCCATTAAATGACTTTCCTAAAGACCCAAGTCAGGACCAGAGTCATTTCAGAGTCTAGGTAGCCCAACTCAGGCCCAGTGTGGAGCTCTTTCTAACGGGCTGAGCATATATAAGCTCTCCAGCTTGGAAGAAACCTTCCAGGATCTTGCCACCAAGGTTGTAGCAGACATGCTACGTGTGGGATGTAGGAGAAAAAGAGGCTTTGGTGTGAGTCCTTGGACAACTGATTAAATCAGGACCATTAGCTTCTGGTTGAAGCCGCACCGTCCCCACCATATGCTCCTCCAGATACAAGTTGGCTCACCGTACCTACCTTCATTCGGGGGAGCTGGCGACTCCTCTGTGACCACTTCCCCAGGACCCACTTGGGTCCTGGCACTGAGTGAGAAGCGGTATCGGGATATAGGGTCAGCTCTCTGTATTGAGAACTTAGTCTGATTGGGAGAGAAGGTCTCAACCACAGCCTTCCCTGTCTTGGTTCCATTAACTGGAAAGAGAAAACAAAGAAGAGTCTTTCTTACTTTAAGGGTCCTTTAACTCTGGAAAAGGAAGTTGCGGAACCTGCCACGGGACCACGGAGACCAGAGGGACTGGCCAGCTTAGAGGCAGCTGTGTTTGAAAGCAGGGGCTCAAACGGAATGCTATCTTGAGCTCTCTTTCAGGATTAGGAAGCCATGCAGTTCCTATTTTCACTGCATGGCTGCTCCCATCATCCCTAGCTCAATGACAAATTAAGTAAATCACTGCTATTTAGACCAAGTCTGAAAGGCTCAGTTTGTAATCTTAAAGTCTCTCTGTGCATTTAAGCATCGTAGAAGGCACATCTAAGCTCTGAATATACCTTTTTCTTAAAAAAAAAAACAACCCCAAACCCAAACAAATCAAAACAAAACCTAGTGCAAAGTCGTTGGGCTTGGTTTCAATGATTATTGGCTTCTTTCTTAAAGAGTCCATTCAATACACTTCAAAGGATGCAGGGGTCAGGCTTCAAGTCCCATTGTGAACAGTACAAAAAAGTCCACTGTTAGATAAATGTAATGCTCAACAACAAAGTAAAGGACACTTTAAGCTTCTTGAAAAGCTGTTGCACTACCTATTTTTTAGTTCTTAGAATCTCTGCAGATCTTCAAAAATAATGAACACTCCTCTGATACTTTGGGAGCCCAGGGATAAGCCTCAGCGGGGAAGTGAGGTAACTGCTATAGAGGTGGAGAGAGGCTAACCCCTGACTCCTCATTCCACATTTCCTTAGCAACTGGGTTCAGTTCAGTTTGCTCTGCTATGATCTCTCTCTCTCTCTCTCTCTCTCTCTCTCTCTCTCCCTCCCTCCCTCCCCATCCCCATCCTCCTTCCCTCTCCTCCTCCTCTCCTCCTCTCTCATCTTTCTGTCTCTCTTCTCTCTCTCCTTCCTCTCTCTCTCTCCCCCCTCCCTCTCCCCTTCACCCCTCCCTCCACTTGTTTGTATGTTCTTTGGAAGTCCCTGGGTCTTGGGAGCCTGGGTCCTTTTGCCTGGATCTAATGTATGTTCCTATGTCTCTCATCCCATCAGCCTGGGAATTTGCCCCAGGTCAAGTACTATTTCTACACTAGGAGTTTCTTGTGGGCAGGGACTGTTTCTTCCATCAGACTTTGAGCCCTGTAAGGGCAGGAAGTGAGTATCTTCCCTTTAAATCAAAGAAGAGGGTCCATCACAAGAGGTTGCTTAGTACAAGGGGTTCAGTCTGGTTCCCTGGCTGAGTGGTTAGAATGGAGTTTGTCTTTCCCAGATAAGGAAAAAGTATGAGGAGGATGAACTATACATACAGGCAAGGTATCTAAGATTGTATCCTGTCAGGATCCCATTGGGGTGTTCTTCTGGGTGATCCCATTCCAGGTTGATTGTCTCCAGGTTGGGCTGCCGGACTCGGAAACGTCTGGGGGCACTGGGTACTTGGGGAAGGAGGAGAGAGCAAGGGAGGGGAGTGGAGGGGCAGGAGGGCAAAGAGAAAGACAGGAAAAACAAAACACAAGCATGAAGGTAACTAAACCTGCTCAGCTACTAAATCAACATATATTGGACGAACATACTGTAGGTAGGAAGAAACTGCCCCAGGCTTAGAAGTGGTGTTCTGGGAAACATATGACTTCAGATCTTTGCCATGGAGCTCAGAGATGCTTAAGAACCAGTCACCAACTTGTAATCAATTACATGAGGACTGAGTGCCCACCACGCCCCTAGCAGAATGCTAAGCTCTAACCCTTACCAGAGGATTTTTTTGAAGTTGAGCAGGGCTGCTCCTTTGAGGAAAGCTAATGTTTTAGCAATTTTGTGTGAATTTACAGGATGGGGTTCTGTCACCAGACAGAAACATGGGGTAAAGTTACTGGGAGGAAAGAAGCTGATGGTAGGCTTCTCTCGAGACTGAGAGGAGAAAGGGAGTGAAGAGAGAGACAGACTCAAGATGGGAGAAAGCAAAGAAAAAGGGAAGAGAGGAGAAGAGGGAGAAAAAGAGAAAAAGAAAAGAGAAAGGGGGGAAAATCAGGAAAGTAGAGATAATGGAAAGAAAACAACAGGAAAAAAAAGAAGAGGTGAGAAATGAATGACTATGATCACGCTCCCAGGTGAATTCTAGCCTCCTAAATAAAGCTGGTTCCATTAGCTAATAGGTTCAATCTGGAGTATAGCATGATATGATATGATATGACATACTATACTATAATATGATATGATATAATATAATGTACTATGCTATACTGTTATACTATATTACACTATACTAATGTAATATAATGTAATGTAATATACTATAATAATATACTATACTATACTATACTATACTATAATATATGATATGATATGACATGATATGATATACTATACTATAATATAAGATATAATATAATGTACTATGCTATACTATTATACTATACTAATGTAATATAATGTAATGTAATATGATATGATATGACATGACATGACATGACATGACATGACATGACATGATATAATGTCAAGGGATCTGGGTTTAAATTCCAGCTCTGCCACTTGTTAGCAAATTATTTAATTTCCCTGTGCTTTAGGTTCATCACCCGCCCATAAAATGAAGATATGGTAGACACTATCTTCCTTAGAAAGATGCTTTTGAGGATCGATGAGATAACATAAATATTGCTTTGTTAACATAAACATCAGCAGTGTTCTGATTCTTGTTCTAACAAGAGTTTGCTATGTGACTGACACTGGACAAATCAGCTTACCCTCTCTGGGCATTGGTTTCTTTATCTACAAAATGAGAGCATTGGACAAGTGACTCCTAAGATTCTTTCCAGCTCTAATATGTTGTATCTTGCTATATGGTCCCTGTGCAGGGGAGCACAAATTAAAGGCTTTCTGGTGATGAGAGACAGGTCAAGAGATTGTGTTCTTATGATACTGACAAAGCTGCTTCATCTTTTTTGAATTGGGGTCCCTCAGGGACTCGGGGCTGAATGAGCTGTTTGTCTCTTGTTACGGAGAGTCTGGGAGCCAGTCAGGGATCTAGGTGGTCCCCTTGGGAGTCAGTCTGTAACATCAGATCTGGAATTGTCCCATCCAGTCCTGAACAGCTTTACTCTCTATGGCTTTTCTGCTGGAGGTCACTCAGACCATTAAGCCAGTCAGGGAGAGTCCAGAGGGTCCATGGGTTCCCCCAAGGCCATGTGGTTATCGATTGCATCATCCTGTGCCAGCTGACATGGAAGCAATACCAACTTGACCAGGCTGGTCAGGGTGGCAGCCCTGATGTTGCCCAATTGGTATTGCCATGAAGACCTACCTCCTTCTGGGGTGGTGAATTCCTTGACTTCACTGCGAGGCCCATCACCTCTCCCATTGACCACAACCATTTCCAGTTTGTAGTTGCTGTAGGGAAACAGGCTTGACACTACACCCCGGGTTCGATCGCTGGAGAAACTGGCAAACTGTCTCTTTTGAGACACCCACAGGCCCTTCAGCAAGCTGCTCTCCCTCCAGAAATAAGCCTTGGGGACAAAGGCAGACCAGTGAGAGGCCTGCCATCCCAGGCACCTGGTTAGTTGTTAGTGGTTGGTGGTCATTGGCCTTTCTTTGGCTCGTAATTTTCTCCACATCCCAGAGGAGCATTGGGCTTCAGCATGGCCTCAGCACCCAAAGCTGAGGTTGGTGGTGCAGCCTTGCACCAATTTATGGCAGATAAGTGAAATAGCTTGTTGGTCTCATTCATTTTCTGATCCATGTCACCTCCCAGGGGGTGGTGGGTTGGCAGAATGGCTAAATGTGTGTCTGTGATGGTCCACTCTGGGAACTTATTTACAAGGCTCTATTAAGCCTTGCTCAGTGAGTCAGCTACAAAGTCATAAATAAAATCCAGGAGTCCAGGGCAGAAAGAACTCTGCTTTGTGCTCAAAGACCACACCACCTCAAACTAGATTAGTAGGTTTTAGATAAGAAACAAGTGAAGAATTTTAGGTAACACTGAAAATCTGAATTTAGCAAGATGCTCGTCTAATCCCTCGATACCAAATGGTTTTTATCCAAACCCTTGGGCGATCTTTAGGAATAGGCTGAACAACCACCTATCTGGGATAGGTAAGATAATATTCTGTCTAGAGACAGGTGGCTAGACAGGATGACCTCAGGAAGGTCATCAAACTGAGCCCGAATTTGCCTTTATTGGGGGCATTGTGGATGTACCAGGCATGAGATTCAATTGAATGACCTCCTAATGTTCCTTTCAACTCTAGGATCCTGTATCTACAATATTGTAACAGGGAAGGTGAAAATTCATGGATTTGTTGCAAATGGTTGAATGAAGATGGTGATCCCCACTCCCTGCTCCCATTCCTTGCCCTCTTTCCCACCTTGCCAGTGTTATTTGGAGCTCTAAGGCTCATTAGGGAGCAAGTTCAGGCTTAGGTGGGAAGGAGGTCAGAGTTAGGGTGCTTTTAGTGCCCTCTAAGCTCTGGGAAGAAAATCTCTCACGGAAGTGGGTTGTGTGAGTATAAGAGGAAACAAGCTTTGAGTTAAGAATTTATCTCCTGGTCTTTCCTTCCCCTACTTACCTCGTTTATTTCCCAGGCATGAGTATCCCTTCATTCCCTCCCTGACCTGCCCAACAGCCAACTCTAAACGATCACTGGTCACCAATCAGGCAGCAAGGAGCCAAAGATGGCCTCCACTAACTGTTTTAGTTATAAACCTCCTCCACCCCATGCCCACCCCTCCTTTTACCTGAACTACACAAGAGGAACCTTGGGATGGACTAATCTGAGGGTTTCCCCCACTTCCCCTTCTTGCCCATCCTTCAGAAGCAATGGCTAACGAGCAGAGAAGTCTTAGACCTGGGTAACACCCACTCCAGCTGGTCAGTCCCTGGATAATTGAGAGTTGGCTGTGAGCACACCAAGGAGTTGGAGACCTCTTAGCTGCATTCTCAGTTAGTTTAGGATTTAAAAACATTTACTTGGGGGAGGGAGAGAGGTGAGGGGGGGATAGTCCAGCAGCAGTTAAAGAGATGGGGTGAGGAGTACATCAGAAGTGGCATAGCATAACTTTCACACCCATACGCAGGCTCACACATATCCTGTGTGTAATATGTGATGACCTCTGCTATGCCAGTCCAAACCTACTCTCCATCATCTGTGGCCCTCTGCTGGGCAAATGCATCCCTCATCAGAAGCCTTAAAGGAGACTGGTGATGACCTGGATAGTTTTTTGAAAAAAGAATCCCAGGTACCCACGTTTTCTAAGATTAGCTCTCCCAGCTGGGTTAACAAACCTGCCCACCCCATCCAGATTAGTGTACCAGCCATCTGCTGCCCCCCCAGCCCCTGGTTAGTCAGCTGGGCAGTTAGGCATGGCCAGGAGGCTGGCTTGCTCACTCGATACTCTCTAAGCTGACCCTGGACCGTGTCCGGGTAGACTCGGTTCCACTGAAGGCCGATGGCTGTGCTGTTCAGGACTCGAACTTTTACATCAGTGGGTGCAGCCCTGGGATCTGAAATGTGGGGGAAGACAGATGAGGCCTTGGTTATGCAGATGGAGTCCCAGTGACTCCCTGTGGCCCCCTGAGATCCTTTCTGCAGCTACTTCCCACAAGCTCCAGGAAACTTCGAAAGAGAGTCCTGATAGCACAGAGCATGTGACCCCAATCAAAGTAGGAGGTCACCAAGCGCAGGGAGTATCTCTTCTTTTTCCAGGCTTCTTCCCCAGTACCCATCCCTGGTGCCTGGATGTTGTGAATTTCAGGGTGTGTGTGTGTGTGTGTGTGTGTGTGTGTGTGTGTGTGTGTGTGTATGTGTGTGCGCGTATATATGAAAGCTTTCTGATAACAGAGCTTCCTCCTACTGGCTGGGGATTTTCTTCTTACCTTTCCCATATTGTCTATAGCCTTCAAACATCTCATTGTGGCTCAGGCTAGTGGATTGATCTTCAGTGACTATCCTGGAAAGGAACCATAACTCCCATCCCCTCAGCTGGAGATAATGGCCTTGGAGGGTCTCCATCCTCCTGGTAAGCAGGTCGAGCTACTCCCACTGTGCTCTAGATGGTAATCTCTGCCTCATCTCCCCTTCTACTCTACCAAAGGAGTAGAAACAAGCATGAACAGAGGTGCTGGTGGGCAATAGGGACATGGATCTATGTCCTTCTACCTGGAGGACCTTTGTGGACCTATGTCTTTCTACCTGGAAACTGTTTGCCAAGAAGGCAGGGAAGAGCAGAATGGACCTATATTCTGTTGTTTTTCTCTATTTATGTCCCCAGATGGCCACTAAAAGCTCAATCCTGAGTCAAGCATTTCCATGAAGCACAGGCCTCTCCTCCACTCCATTTTGTCAGCATGGATACAACTAGTTTCATCCCAATAGCCATGCCACACCCTCCCCCCCCCCCAGACCTAGTCTCAACCAAAGAGAGATGAATCACCCAAGCTGACTTCACCCTCCTGTGATAGAGTGGCATTGGTCAAAGCTCTTTCTGACACCGGATGATATTCCAGAGACCTTAGTGATTCACTGCCTCTAACACTGAGGTCAATCCATTAAGAGACCAACAAGTCATCTTGGGGTGGAGGCTTGAGGGGCACATAAGCAAACACATGAGTGCTCAGTTCCTATTGTTTTCCCCGCTGATCATCAGTAAGACCTGTGTAGACCCTAGCTTGGCATTAGTCCTCAAACACCTCTGCCTTCAGCTCTCCTTTTATGTTGAAGGCTCATGGCCTGAAGTGATAGTGGGGTGCATATAGGTACCAGGACCCATGGTTAGAAACACGATTGGCCACCATTCTCTTTTGTTGCCTTCATTTGGGTTCTATGGCTAGTGCTCTGAGGGCGTCTCCTACAACCCATGGCTTCCCCTTGGGGACCAGCAGGCAAGGTGTGAGGGCCTTTGGTAGAAACAGCACTTGATGGAAGTGCGATGGTACTAAGTACTTGGTAATACTAAGCACTTGGTAGGGCACTTGATAGAAGAAGAGAGAAGAGGGTACTCACAATCTTCCCCAGAGTAGCCAATGATGGTGTCTGGCTCGGGTCCCTTCCCAAAATCATTCTCTGCCTGCACTCGGATCTCATAAGGCACGTAGACGGGGGTCTGCACCACGGTGTAACGGGAGCCCCACACCGTGGCATTGTTCCAGCTCTCCCTTCCTTCCCGTCGCCGCCATTTTACAATATAGCGGAGGTTGGGTCCGAATGCAGATGTGGCATTCATGGGCTGAGCAAGAAAGAAATAGACCAGACAGAAAGGGATAGGGAAATTTGGTCACACAACTACTCTGTCTTTCTGCCTGTGGCCGATACTCTTCCTTCCCCAAGCGTCCAACTTACAAAGTAAGGCAGGAGCTAGTGGCCCCTTTCCTCAGTGAAAGCTGAGAATACAACACGGACCTTAGCTAGCATTCATCTCAACATGAGAGATAAGGTCATGTAGTGGTTAGAAAACTGACCCCAATGTTAGGTTCAAATCCTGCCTCTGACCTCCCTAGGGAGGTAGGACCCTGGGAAAGTCATTTAACTTCTCAGTGCCCTGGGCAAGTATCTAATAATCTAATTTGCAGACAAGGTACTCATCCCATTGGCAATGGGAGTTTCTTGATTTGGACATTCTCTAATCCATGAAAGCCCAGCTTGAAACCCTATTCCTATGTAGGGTCAGTTAGGTGGTGCAGTGGGTCTGGAGTCAGGAAGACTTGAGTCCAAATTCAGCCTTAGATACCTATTAGTTATGTGATTCTGGGCAAGTCACTTAGCCTCTGTTTGCCTGTTTCCTCATCTGTAAAATGGGGATGATAACAACACTTACCTCAAAGGGTTGTTGTGAGAATTAAATGAGATAATAATCATAAAGAACTTAGCATAGTGCCTGGCACATATGAAAATTAGTTATTATTAGCTGTTACATGTAGAATCAATACCTAATTATCCACCAGCGGCTTATCTGTGGCAAAATTTTAACACAGCCTTCCTTTGCCACTAAGGATGCTTTCCGTTGCTTAGGAAATGTAAACATGTTTTTAACAGGAGTCTAAGCAAATCTGACTTTAACAGGCAATATGGGCAGCTAAGTGGGGCAGTGGGTAGAGCATAAGGACTGGAGTCAGGAAGACTCATCTTCCTGGGTTTGAATCTGGCCTCAGATCCTTACTAGCTGTGTGATCTTGGGCAAATCATTTAACCCTATTTGCCTCAGTTTCCTCTTCTATAAAATGGGGCTGGAGAAGGAAATGGCAAACCACTCCAGGATCTTTGCCAAGAAGACCCCAAATGGGATCACTTAGAGTCAGACACGAATGAAACAACTGAACAATAACATGGCAGAGCACAAAACACTGTGGATTTGGAGCAGATGACCAGGGTCCCAGGCCTGACTCTCATTTACTGGCTGTGTGATGGGAGATAAGTCACTTAATCTCTCTGAGAATCAGTCTCCTCTTCGGCAAAATGAGAATAAGATTTGAGCAACCTGCCTCTCAGGTGTGTCTAGAGCATCCAATGAGATGATGTAGGTAAAATGATTTGTAGCCATCTGGGGAAGATTTGGACCTGGGGTTTCATTGGTTTATAGAGTCTCTGATGAAGAAACACCCTTTATCCATGTAGATCTGCATCTCACAGTCTTAGAGAGTTGCTTGGGGGCACTGAGATGTTCAGCGACTTGGCTCAGAGTCAAGTGTTAGAAGAGGGACTTGAACCTGGGTCTTCTTGACTTGGAGGCTTGCCTTTCCATATGATCCTATATAGACGTCATCTCTTAATAATACTAACACAAGCTGTGTAGCACTAAAAGGTCTATCCCATCAGTCCCGTGAGGCTGGGAGTATCAATAGGATCCTTATTTTACAGATGAGGAAACTGAGGCCCAGAGAGGTTATATGATTTGCCCATGGGGAAATAGCTGAATACAAATGCTGGAGCCAGTCGCTTCAAAACTGATTTTCCTGCCTCTAAACACAGTACTAAAATTTTACCATGTTGCACTGCCTTTTACTATGCATACATGTAAGATGTTATTAGGACTATGATAAGGAAAGCACATCTGCTACCCCCAAAAGCATAACATGCACTCAAAGACCAAAAAAAAAAAAGACTCTGGATTATCTGCTGTTGTGGTTTAAGCATGCTATTTTGTTGTGGTTCAGCTGTTTCAGTCACATCCCATACTTCGTGACTGCATTTGGGGTGTTCTTGGCAGAGATAATAGAGTTGTTTGTCATTTCCTGTTCCAGCTCATTTTACAGATGAGCAAACTGAAGCAAACAGAGTGAAGTGACTTGCCCAAGTAGCTTGTCACACAGCTACTAAGTATCTGAATCTGAATTTGAACTCAGGTCTTCCTGACTCCAGGTCTGGAGCTCTATCTACCACATGATCTCCCTGCCTTATGATTGCCCTCCAGTAGCACAGATAACTGATTAGTACACATTTCTATTGGTTTCTGTTGTGTCTTCCTGGCCATCCCCTTGCCCCACTTCCTATACTCTAGCCATTATCCTCATTCTCCCCATATCCCACTGTCCTTACACACAACCTTGCACTCTGGTCCTGGGTCCCCTGGCTCTAAGAGGTGATCTTCCATCTCGTTTTGTTGGGAATCAGGCCTCTCCACCACATCTCTATACTGTATCTCAGCACACATGTCCACTTCTCTCCACTTTTCCAGATTTCCTTTACATATTGTCTTTCTCCATTAGAATGTAAGCTTCTTGAGAGCACAGATGGTCTTGTTTGTTTTCTTAGTGCTTTGCCCAGTGCCTGGCATGTTGTAAGTGCTTAATAAATGCTGTGATGCTCTGTGTGTGTGTGTGTGTGTGTGTGTGTGTGTGCGTGCGTGTGCACGCGTGCACTTGTCTTATCTCCTCGCAAAAGTTATCAGCTCTGGGAAAACAAAGACTCATTCTTTATTCTGTATTCCAAAGTCTGGGCCTTGCCTCTTCAGGTAAGGCTGACAATAAAGATTCAGAGGACAAATTATCCTTTTTGGAGCCTTAGAGAGTAGGCTCCAAGCCTCTTGAATATGTATTTTCTGAGTGTCCCTTATCCTAAACATGACCCATGGGAACCGAATGTTGAGAGTGATACCAAGCACAAGAGGATGGGATTTTTGGATACTAGGCTTGGAAGGAATCTTATAAGGTTATCTAGGTTACTTCCTGCCTCTGGGCAGGACTCTTTTGAAACCATCCCAAAGAACTGCTTTTGTTCCCAAAATTTTTCCAGAAAAAAATATTCCAGGCATGCTGGGGAAATATGCCCAGTGTCATATTCCAACCAAAGCCAGGACGTCCTTCTTAATGTCTAACCTGAATCCCTCCTGGTCCAGTAGAAGACGATTCCCTTGTCTCTTACTTGGTGGAGTTCTTCCTGGCCAATAATAAACAGACAGTGCAAAGTCCTTTGTCCCTTTTCCTTTCCCTTACTGTTAACTGTGTTTCCTCTCTGAAGTCTCACTCTCTGCCTCTTCTCTTGCTCACTTTGTAAGATGCCCTATATGGAGAGAAGCTAATGGTTTCTGGAGAGGGGCTGATGGTCCGGACTACATTGGGCCTGGGCAAGCATCACCAGAAGGGGAAGAATATGGGAAGGGGTGCAATGAAAAGAGAATCTTACCGTCCATGTGATTTCCATGTTGTTCTTTCTGGACCCCGCTCCCTTTACATCACCTGGATTGGACTCTGGGGCTGAAACCCAAGTGGATACATTTTACATCTAATGAATACCTCTCTCCCTGTCATCTAAGTCAAAACTCACTTCTTCCTGCCAAGTTCCCTGGATTGCTCTCATAAATGATTATTTCTGTTTTCCTTCCTCACAGATGCCCTGCATTCTTGTGCATGGGTTCATTTACAAAGCAACATCTGAACCCCTGCACGTGTTTTGTTTCCCTAACTAAAACTGGCTGTAGACAGGGGCTGTGTCATTTCCCACATCACTGTCCATCTTTTTCTTTTGCAGTCCTTCACTTTAAAGACTGTAGGTGTGCACACTGTGGGGTATGTTCTATTCACTGCACAGCCAACTCTCCAATGTCCACTTAGGGTTATCCATCCTTCTGCTTTCTTTGTTGAAAATGTGTAAGTGCAAGCCGGTTTCTCCCTGACACCTGTGATAGTTTTGAGATGTTTGCTCCCTCACTCCCACTGAAGGGGGATTGAACTCAAGAAATGCAAATTCAAGGAAACAAAATATTTAGAAGACATAGTGCTTGGCACAATGCCTGGCACATAGTAGGTGCTCAATAAATGGTGATTGATTGTCATCCAAAATAATTTAAATAACTTATGTAATAGTACCACCAGTCATCTGATAATAGGATTTAGAGGCCTTCTAATCTTTAAGTGTGGCCTTTTGACTGAATCCAAGTTTAAATTTGATTTTAAAATTTGGATTCAGTCAAAAGGCCGCACTTAAGGATTTAGAAGGCCACACGTGGCCTTAAGGCTGCAGGTTCCCCAACCCTGGGCTAACCCAATCCTCTCATTTACAGAGGCCTAGTCAACATTTGCTCAAAGTCACAGAGCTAATGAGTAGTTGGCATGCTGGGTTCAGGGAATTCTAAATTTGGTGCTCTTTCCATTCCACAGTGGGCCCCACCTCCACTCCCACTTAATGTGATGAATCTTTCTCCTCCCTTCCTCCCCCACCCCCAACAGAATGTCTTGATCTGATCATTGTCTGGCCAAAGGCAGGGACATAGAATGCCCTGTAATATTCCAGGTGCTGGAGCCTGGAGCTAGGTGAGGTAGAGGAAAGGAATGACTGGTCTCCACTCAGACCTACCCAGTTTATGGTCAAATATACCTTGTGAATCATCTGCACCATTTTCCCTTCATGCAGATAATTAACTGTGCACACTGTTGCCTTGCAAAAATCTGACCTTTGCACTGTGCCCTCTCAGCTATTAGGGTTCTGTTGGGCTGGGACAGGGAAGGTGAACTCCAAGCACTCACGTGCACCACTGGTCCTGTAGCGCTCAGATGGTTGGCTAGGATGACTGCTTCCAACATCATTGACGGCAATGACCCGGAACTGGTAGTTGACATAGGGGGACAACTGGAGGACTGCTGAATTGACGCTGCCTGAGTGTTTGGAATGGCTGTGCCAGACACCGGGTTGGAACTGGTCCTCTTCAAACTGGACGATGTACTCTGAGTGGGGAACAGCAGAACAGGGGGGCTGAACCAGAGCTCCTCCTCTCCAAGGACTCTCTCCTCTTCCACCCACTTATCACATCCCCAAGAGAACAAGAGTGGGCAGCAAGGGTTGTTCCCAAGATAGAGAGGGAGAGACTGAGGCTCAGTTATGTTAATCACAGAGTGATTAGTGTCTAAGAGTGGGAAGGAGACTTTGAGGTCACCTCATCCAACTCAGACCTGAATGGGAATCCTTACAACAGCCCCATCAAGGGAGCTGTCCAAAGATGGACTGAGCAGCTCCAGGTAGGCAGCGGGTTCTGTAGCAATGGAGAGCGTTAAAGAGAGTTGGGGTGCCCACTTGGCATGTTACTGAAAGTGCTCCAGTTCACTTCACCCGAGGATCGTCCTTCCTCTGAGATTCTGGCTACCCAAACTCATTTAAAAACCTCCAGTGATGGAAGTGGCCCATTCTGATTCTAGATAGTGCTAATCATTAGGGAGTTTTCCTTATATCGAATGAAAATATGCCTCTCTGCAACCTCTATACATTGCTTCTAGTTCCGTCCTTTGGGGACAAGAAAAACAATTCTAATCTCTCTTCCACATGTTTTTGTTGCTGTTCAGTTGTAACTGACTGACCCCATTTGAGGTTTTCTTGTAACTGACATAATCCCTTTTGGGGTTTTCTTGACAAAGATATTGGAGTAGTTGACCATTTCCTTCTCCAGCTCATTTTACAGATGAAGAAATGGAGGCAAACAGGATTAAGTGACCTGCCCAGGGTCACACAGCTAGCAAGTATCTGAGGCTGGATTTGAACTCAGAAAGATGTCTTCCTGACTCTACTGCGCCACCTAACGCTCCTCTTCAACTGGACATCTTTTCAAAACATTAAGACAGTAAACATGCACCTCAGTCTTCTCTTCCCTAGCTAAATGGCCTTCTTTTCTTCAACTGTCCCATATATGGCATGACTTCTAGTTCCATATCTCAAGGTTACTTACTTAGACATCTCTCAAATCACAAGAGTCTTCTAGCATATACCAATGGTTTTCAAAATTTCTGGTCTCAGTACCCCTTGACACTTAAAAATTGAGGACGCCAAAGAATTTTTGTTTATGTGGTTTATATCTATTGATATTTACCTTACTGGAAATTAACAAAAATCTTTGTATTATTATGAAAATAATGTTGTCCTTACAGACCTACTGAAAGGCTATTGGGGATGCCCAGGGGTCCACAGACCACACTTTGAGAACTGCTACTCTAGGGAGTGGACCAATCCATTCAGTTCCGCCACTGAACTGCCTTAGAGTCACAGAATCCCTGGAATGTTCTGCTAGTGGCAGACCTGGGGGGGGAATATCCTGTTTGCTGGATATTGCCGGAAGACTCTTATGGCTTGGAAGATGTCTGAGTAAGGAACTGAGTAAGGAAAAGGTGTGGTGGATCCTAAAAAAACTTCATTCATAACAAATGCTTTCATCTGTCATTTCTGAATAACTCAAGGGCTCCACATAGGTGTGGCAGCTATTCCTCACAGATAGAAATGGAAAACAGTTGCTCTCAATGTACTGAAGGGGAAACAGACCTACAGAGGTTTGGTGATTTGCCTGGGTTCATGAAGCAAGGGAGAGGCTAGACTGGTATTGGAAGCCCAACACCCAAGTGCCCTTCTGTGCACTGACCTGTGATGGGGCTGTTGTTGTCATCCCCAGGGATCCAGGTCAGTCTCACACTCCTCTCCTCCAGGTCAGTCAGCTCTAGATCTCGAGGAGGATCTGGTCGCTCTGCCAGCAGAGAGAGAAAATATACTCACGTTTCTCAGAGTTAGTGGAATGGTTCCCCACCCCCACCCTCTTCCTTGGTCTGTCCCCAGTCCCAGATACTGTTGCATGCAGAATGGTCCATCACTGGTTCTAGGTAACCACCCCAAACTGAAACTGCTACTAGGTTTGTTCTTCTGGGTCAGTGGAGGAATCACGTACTTGGGAAAGGTTCCAGGTTCTTCCCAGCCCCTCTCCATTAGGAACTAAAGCTATGGAATGAAAAGGGGATGGGGTAATCCTCCAACCACCAAAACCAAGGTTGTAGGCAAAGAGGGAGGATAGTGTTACCTTGGGGCCAGATGTGAATGGTAGGAGCCTTGTGAAGAGGAAGACAATGAGAACATCTCACTCCCCACCCCCAGTGGATGTTTTTAAAGACTCCACATCTGGTAAGGCCTTAAAAGCTGCTGCAACTAACCCTTTTCACACAGTCCCTGATGATAAAATTGGATCATGGGAATGGATGAGAGAAGGGGAGGAGTATGGGTGGTGTTGCTGGGGTATAATGTAATTTTCCTCAGGGAAAAAAAGTCACTCTTTCTTTCTGATTACAATAGCACCCTCTGCAGAATTAGGACAGTACAGAAGAGCCAGTAAAGTGAGCACCTGGCAAGAGATTCAGAGATTGGCAAGTCACTCAGAGGATGGGTCCAGAGAGGGAGGAAAGAGACAGAAAGTTACTCAAGGGAGTTCTGAGGCTGCTCAGCAGAGGACACCATTAATACGACCCATCGGTCGAAGCCTACACTGGGAACACCTTCGTTCTGGGGGCTGCAGGAGGGTGCTGCATCTCCTGAGGTTCTCTGCTGTGCAAGTTCTCAAGGAATCAGACCATGCTGCTCCCGCTTCAGCAGCAGCAGGTGTTAATCACAGCCTCTGGTTATAACAACCTAGCCGTTAATAAAAATAGGTGATGTTTATATAGCTTTAAGCTTTGCTGAGCACTTTGGGACCTTGGGGGAGAGAATGTTATCTTGTTTGATTGTTACTACCCATCCCCTGTCCTCTTCCCGCATTTTATAGATGGGGAAACTAAGTCTCAGAGAGGTTAATGGACTTACTGCACATATCACTAGTAAATGCTAGAGTCAGGTTTTGAACCTGTCTCCTTGTCTCTAAGTCTCCCCCTTTCCCCTGACTTCTGTGCAACAGAGTACATTGTGATTTGGGGGTGGGAGGGTAGGTGAGGTAGTGCTGCAAGGAGTGGAGAAGCTAAAGTGAAGCAAGAAAGGGTTCCCAGGGGTCCTCCCTACTCTGCCTTGTCTCCAATGCCTACTTCAGTTAGCTATATATGTGTGTATATACATCTATGTATATACACATCTACATATATAGAATGTGTGTATATATAATATATAGCATATATTATACATGATTTAATACTTACATATTAATAATATGTATCATACATATTACATATATGTTATATATATATATATACATATATATGTATATATATTGTCTCCTTTAGACTATAAGGTCTAGGAAGGCAGGGATCATGCCTTTCAACTTTGTACCTCCTTCACTGCCTATCACAATACTCTGCACACAGTGACTTTTCATTAATGCTTGTATAATAGAATGACCCTGAGTGAGAAATTGGGGTAGAGAGGACATAGGTTCACCTAAGTGATATGGCCAAGGGTGGGGAAAACTCTTTGGAGCCCAGGGCTTTGAAGATGGGACAAAGGATTGCTTCTAAAAGTGATCCAAAGCTTATGGAGGCTTAAGGCTAAGGGTGAGATTCAAGGGGAACCTGGAGAAGACAGGTGATAATATGCACAGAAAGACAGAAGTAGAGGCCTAAAAAGTGGTGAAATGAGAAGTTACTGCCCTGAAATTAGGATAAGCCAAATTCCCTCTTCCTCCCATTTCCCATCCTCCCACTCTCCTTCCTCCCACACCAAGCCCATTCTCCCCATCTCTTAGAGAGAGCTACAGTGAGGAGTCTACTGAGGTTACTCCCAGTTACCTTTGGGAAGGGGAGCCATACGGTTAATCGGAACAGCCTGAGCTGCAAAGGTAAGACAGGTTAATCAGGTTAGTGGTATTGTTTAAGTTGGTCTAGAGGGAGACATACAGGCCACAGGATCTTGTCTCTTCCCGATTGGGCAGAGCTGTTCTCCTGTTGAAGGCCTCAGGGCCTTCATGATCCCTGCAGGGAGGGCTAATGACAGTCTTAAAAGCCTACTTGCACAAAAATCCAGGGAGCTTGGCAGGGCTGATCATTAACTCCCTTTTACAGAAGAGGATAGTGAGGCTGAGGGCCCTACCACTATCTAGCTTTTAGTCACCTCCATTAGGGTGTGACAGAAAGACGGAGGCTGGGTTGGCAGAAAGACCAACATCAGGAGCTATCCACGAAGAAAACTTGCAAGACAATGCAGCTGGTGACTTCCTTTCCAGGGCGATTTCCCTTCCAGGAAAATGTACCCCATCAGCATAGTTGGATTAGGGTAGATGTGGGAAGGATGGGCAGAGATTGGCTCTTTGGGGCTTTAGGAAGTTCCAGTTGGAAACAGGGTAGAAATGGGAGGGCAAGGTAAATGGACAAACCCAGAATTTATTCTTCCTTTAATTAAAGGCTGTTTAATAGTTAATCAGCTTAGTTATACAGAGTTAGCTGTAAGAGATGGGAAACAAACAAAACAAAACATAACAAAACAAAGCAAGAAAACCCTCCCCACCTTCTCTATACCAGTCACGCATCACTTAGCCGAGTTCACGGGGAAGCTAGTTATTTAGCTAAATGGACCAATATTGAGTTTTGCAGTATCCCTTAGGTGTTCTGAAAGTATTGGTTTTCTTGTTGCTAGATCAAACAGTTCTCATATTTAATTGGACCTTAGTGAATGTGGGCATGGCCCTCTGAAGCTGGCCCATGTATGATGGGGTGGGGGGGGAGGAAGGGTGGCCAGTGACGCTAAACACAGGGGCAGTTACCTAGCACAGTGAGATAGGCCTTGGCTATGTCTCGGTCAAGCTCAGTGCTGGCCATACAAGTGTAGCTTCCTTGGTCCCGGTCAGCCACACCAAAGATGGTGAGGGTGTCCTCTTCCTTTTTCATCCTGAAAAGAAGGAGGGGTAGGAGAGTCACTAGGGAGGGAGGCAAATAACCAGGCATTGAGGGGCTGGTCTGAAGGAGAAAGCCACTTTTTTCTTCCTTCCTGAGAGACGGAAATAAAAACTAAACTTAAATGCCAATTTTCTTCTAGGTGCTGAGTTCAAATCTCTGAATCTTTTTTTTTGGAGGGGGGAAGGGAAAGTATTTTATTTTGTATTTATTTAGTATTTATTGTATTGTTTTAAATTTAATTTTAATTAATTATTAATTATTTTAATTGCTTAAAGTCAAAATAAAAAAAAGGAAAACAAGATGGTTTGGGCAGAATGGCCATAACTACCCTGACCTTCACTGTCCCCCAAATCCCCCCTTCATTTTCACTTCTTTACCCATTATGATGTCCTACACAATGAAATGCCATCCCCCTCCTCCTTCATCTCTCCAAACCCAACAGTTGAGGTCCTACTCAAAGGAACACTTTTTTCCCTCATGAAGCTCTTCTCTGGTTAGTTAGGGTCAAATTGCTTTCCTCTGAACCCCACAGCCTATATTGTCTTACATTCACCTGCATCTTATCTAGTACTGTTCTCTGCTATGTTTCATGAACGTTAGTCTAACCCCTTCAACTAGGCTTCCTGGAGGCAGAGAGCCTATTCTATACCAAGCATACAGTAGGCTTGCAATAAATACTTGTTGATTCATCATTGAGAGGCAATGTGGTACAGTGGAACCTGCCAAATTTGGAGTCAGAGGACCTGAGTTCTAATCCCAGCTCTGCTATTTACTCCCTGGGTGACTTTGGGTAGGTTATTTAACATTTTGGGGCCTCATGTTCAACGATTAGGTTGGATTCGATGGTCTCTGAAGTCCCTTCCAATTCTAAAATTATGATCTTATGATCTCACTTCTTCCCACACCTCCAGCCCACAATAAACCTTAAGGATTTTTTTTTTCAGGCTTGCATCTCCTCTCAGCCCTGGGGCAAGAGTTAGGTCTAGCTCTGCATTGCATATATAATTACCTCTAGACCTAAGAATATCTACCACTGAAGTCTTTGGGAAAAGGATACTATAGATATCTTAAGGGAATAATTATATTCATCAATTAAGTACCTGCAATGGGCCTGAGTAATACAGTAATAAGAAGCCTTGGCACAAAGGAGGATGGTTAGTTGAGGAGGAGAAAGAAATTTACTCCAGGGGCTCCTACTGGACAGCTACCAGTAGGAGCCAACAAGAATAATAAAAAACCCTGTAGGGCAGCCTGGCTTGTCACATAACACTCAGTAGTCACCGAGATTCTTGGTCCCAAGATGATCAAGAAGAGAAAACCTACAATGATAAGTTCAGCTACAGACTTGTGACTATTAAGAAGTCTGGATAATTAAACAAACCAAATAACCCAAGGATGGCTTGAATAGTCATTCTAGAATATGACTTTGTGGGAGAAGATGAGTCAGGTCAACCCTGCCCTCTACTGGAGGACTGAGACACTGCTGGTGGGTCTGAGAGATGCTGGAAATGGTGGCCCCGGTGAACCACCAAATAGTGCTAAGTGATGCTTGTGAGGATTGCTGATTCACAGACATGAGACAAAAGAGGAAAGGGAAAAGGAGGATCATGAGAAGAGGAACAGAGAGAAAGAAAATAATGGCAGGAGAGAAGAATACCAGAGAAAAAGAGGGAGAAGTAAGAGAAAGAGGTGAGAGAAATAATGAGGAGAAAGAAGAAGACAAAAAAGAAAAAAGAATAGAGGGAGAGACAGGGAAGGGAGAGGGGCAAGACAACAAGGAATGAAAGATAGAGGAGGAAAAGAGAGGGAAGGGGAGGAGACAGATCAAAAGAAAGAGAAAGGATGAAGAGGGAGAGAGTGAAAGAAGGAGAGGAGACAGTGGTTCATAGTGAGGCCAATAAAATTTAACAATATTTAGTCTATGTGCCCTTCAGTGTAATCAGTGACTCTGGATGTCTATCACTGGGTTACATACCACGTATTCCCCAACAGAAACCTCAACACTCCAAAGATCCCTGATTTTATCAGGGGAAGGCAGGAATGAATATTTCCTTCCCCACTGAAGATAACAACTAGTCCATACCTTAGTAAATGGCCCAACCTTTTGCTGATGAGTATCTCTGAACTTAGTTAGGCTGACCCTCAGGCAACAGATACTGAAGGCTATTGCTAGACCTACAGCTGAAGACCTTACAGCATGGTCAAAACTTCTAGAGTTTGTATTCTGCTGGCATATCCTTGGAGAGCCTATGATGAGGCCTCAGAGTAGGAATTTAGTGTAAAGCTGGGTGGGGAGAAGGCCACCCAATCTGGCCCAAGAGGCAGGAGGGAGGAATGGGGGACCTGTTTCCAATGTAGAGCGGCTCATCATCCTTCAGCCAGTTGACTGTAAGCTTCAGGGTGGGGTCATGCTTCACTCGACACTCCAACACGACGTTTGAACCTCTCTTGACCACCTGGTCCTCAGGCACCCGAATTATCCGGGTGGGGTCTGTGGGGAAGTACAAGAAGCCCATTGGCCCACCATCCTCAGGATCACAAACTGCCCTAAAGCCTCACGCCTGTCACATAGGTTGGAAGAAATCACATTTAGCCAACTCCTGGATGTCTGTATTAATAGAGGGGAATCACAGTATTATACAGAATAATGGACAATCCAAAAATTATTTATATTTGGCTTTTTCTCCTTTTTTTTTGAGGATCAGTTGGGAATAGTAGATTTTTCTTCCTAATTCTATTTGGTCTACAATAACATTATGAGTCCGCATTCCTGGAACCCATGCCATCAGCCGAGGGAAGGAGCTCAGATTTGTTTCAGGGTGGGGGAAGGTGGCCTGGGATTAAACACTTGCAATGAGGAATCCCCAAGTGGATCATCCACACATGAGCACTGGAGAGCCAGTAGCTATATCTCCAATTTGGCCTTGATTCAATTCAACAAGCATTTATTAAGTATCTACTATTTGCCAGGCACTGTTCTAGGTGCTCAAAATAAAACAAAAAAGAAACCATCCCTACCCTCAAGAAACTTATACCTTATTGGGGGAGATAACATGTACAAATATAAGCATAAAATACATGCAAAGCCATTTCCCAGGGAGGCCACCAGCACCTGGAGGATGGTCTGGGGACCAGAGTAGGCTTCCTAAAACTTCCACAGTCCAGGAGGTGGACTTGATCAGAACTTTGAAGGAAGCTGGGAATTCTGAGGCAGAAGTAAGGAGGGAGGGCATCTGAGGCATGGGAGACAGGCTAAGGCATGACATTGGAGATGGAATGTCATGTTCAAGGAGTGGCAAATAGGTCAGTGTGTCGGGGAAGTCATGTGCACAGAGCAGAAACTGTGTAATAATGCCTGGAAAAGCAGGCTGAAGCAAGATAGTTAAAGTCTTTAAAAGGCAGTGTTTGCATGTTATCCTAGAGGTGAGGGAGAACCATAAGCGATCTGTGAGTGACATGGGAAGGCCTAGATTTTGGGACTATTATTTTGGCAGCTGTGTGGAGGATTGATTGGAGAAGGGAGCAATTAAAGGCAGGAAGTACAATTAGGAGACTATTGTAATGGTCTAGGGGAGAGGTGATGAAGGTCTGAATTAGGGTGATGGCTGGGTGAGTAGAGAGAAGGGGACAGATATGGGATATATTGGAGAGATAAAACTGTCAAGACTTGGCAACTGATTAAATGTGAGAGGTCAGGGAGGGAGAGGAAGATTTGAAGATGATTGTGAGCTTGCAAACTCAGGTGACTTGAAGGATAGCGGTACACTTAACAGCAATACGGAAATTTGGAAGGAGGGGTGGTTTCTGGGTAAAGATAATGAGTTCTATTTTGGAAATGTCGAGTTTGAGATGTTGATGGCACATCCAGTCAGAAATGCTCAAAAAGCAGTAGGTGATATGGGACTGGAGGTGGCAGGTGAATCCATGGGATTTGATGAGCTTGCCAAGATGACGAGTGCGGAGAGAGGGCTCGGGACAGATCCCTGGGGTCCATGCATCAATAGGGGGTGGACAAGGCTGATGTTCCCCAGGAACACTTAACACAGACACAGTCTTCCCATCTGACTCTACCTTTGACCTCCAGGCGGACTTGGTTCTCTGCTTTGCCCAGGATGTTGGTGGCCACACAAGTATAGATGCCCTGGTCTTCTTTTCGGGCCATGGCCATTTCCAAGCTGCCATTCTCATGGACTTGGTAGTTGCCACCATCCAGGTTGCTCCCCTGCCCATTCTTAAACCTCGCAACACAGCAAAAGAGACCACAGCATAATGAGGCAGGAGGTAGAAAGGGCAGCTAGGGATAGGGAAGGGAGAAACACATAACCAGCCCACAGGGGAAGCATCATGGTGCAACAGAAAGAACAGAGAGAAGGCAGCTGGGAGTCAAGACACCTGACTCTAGTCCTGCTTTTGTCACTAACTCACTGTGTGATCTTGAGCAAATGAGTTCCCTTCTCTGGGTCTCAGCTTTCTCTTCTGTACAACAAAAGTAGATGGTTACTAAGACTTTTCCAGCTCTAAAATTCAACGTTTTTGTTTTTGTTTTTTTGACTTTCAATATTTGCTCAGGGTTTACTCTAGTCCCATGCAAGGCATTGTGGGTTACAAAGGAGACATACATGGCAGTCACTGCCCAAAGAAGGTGGGGCCAGGCATGACCAGAGCTTACCATCGGAGGGTAGGGATTGGGGACCCAAAGAAAGGACAGTCCAGCCGAGTCCGGTTGTAATGGATCACCTTGATGAGTTGGTTCCGAGGTGACAACATCCGAGGGGGCACATCTGAAACCCACAGCATACCTGTTTGAGACTGCTGTGTCAACTGGCTCCTTCCTTCTTGGACCTTTTTGTGGAGGGGTGGGGGGACAATCCTTGATCTTGGACCAACCTCCTATCTCCCATGTACACATGTACCTTCCTCCATCAATTTCACTAACTCTAAGGAGCCTTTCAGGATTGGGGGAGAATGTGATAGGGTATTGTTATGATATTCGATCCAATTTTCCAAAATTAGAACTAGAGACTTGACCTATGATTTCATTGGTATAGAGAACTCTCAGGTGAGGGAACTGCCTCTACCAATGTAGGTTAGCATTTCTCTATCAGTCATTGTTGAGGTAAGATGACTTGCCTAGGATCACAAAGCTAGTACATGTCAGGGGTAAGACTGGAAACCGAGTCTTCCTGGCTTCAAGACCATCTCTCCACTCATTGCCTCTGTTTTTCCAAAATTATTCAGCACTAAATACTGGTTGAAATACCCCCTGCACATTTTTTCTGAAGTCTATGAACACTTCCAGCTATTTCTCCATTTCCTCCTCTCACCCCTTTTACTTTCTGCAGTGATTACAGAAAATACATTCACAGTCATTTCCTAAACCTGGGCTCTGGCAGCAATACCCAGATCAAGAGATACAATGCACAAAGACTTAAGATGGCAAGATATGCCCACTATCCCATATTCATAATGGTGGGTAGTAGACCAATGCTTATTTTCATGGCTGAAGTAACTCCACATCCATCTGTCTACTCACATTTCCCTTTAGCAGGAGTGCTGAATTCTCTCCCTAACCTAGAAAAATCTTACATACATTCATCTCTGCTCCAACCCAATCACCAAATAGCCTGGAACTATGCTGATCTGATTCCCTCCTCTTAGAAGACAAGGGACTATCTTTTTCTCTTCTATGAAATAACTAATCACAAAGACAATTTCACTGTAACTGTAACTGAGGATAAGAAGAAAAGGGAAAGGAGGTTGGCTCACCCAATGTTTCTATCTCAACAATATCACCTTCTTTCCCCACTACCCATGCATGCTTCCAGGCACTAAGTCACCCTTTGTATACTCACCCAGAACGCTGACAAAGGCATTGGCTAGAAGGTAACCGTGATCGTTGGATGCATTACATTGATACACTGCGCTGCTGCCAATCTGAGTGTCCCGGAATATGATGGTATCTCCAGCTACCTCACGGCTTGGGTTGGGAGGTGCCACTAGGGATGAAGAAAGGAAGTTTCCATTAAGGAATAGCTGATAATGTTGAGGGGCCATGGGTTTGCCTGTCAGGGCCTCATGGCATGGGGACCTCTGTGGTGTGGTGGAAAGGGCACTAGGTTAGGAATCAGGACACCCAGGTCCTGGTCCTGATTCTGCTAACCCTCTTTGATCTTGGGGACATCACTGCCCCAATCCAAGCTTTAGTTCCTTAATTTGTCAAGTGAGAATAATAATCTAAATTCAACCTTTCTTAGAAGATGATTGTAAGAAGCTGGCAAGATAATGTAATTTTAAAAGCACGAAAAGTGATCAAAGTAAACAAAATGGAGACAGTGTGCAGAGTACAAAAATAGATCTGGAAACAAAGGAGACAGGTTCAAATCCTGCCCCTGACACTAGCTAGCTGCAGGGCCACTGGCAAGTTACATCACCCTCATGGTCTCAGTTTCCTCTTCTGGAAAGTGAGGAGGTTGGATCAGATGGCCTTTGAGACCCCTTCCAGTTCTAAGTTTATGATTCTATTAGTCGATTGGTAAAGAGACAAGAGCCCCAGGTTACTCAGGATGTCCTCAGAGTATTGTCTTATATTGAAAGGAAGTGTGATTCAGAGGCTAGAATGTTAGATTTTGAACTAGGAGCCCCGAACTCAAGGTTAAGTGACTTGTCCAGGGTCACACACCTAGTAATGTGATTTTGGACAAGTCACTTAAAATATCAGTCTGTTGCTTTTTTTTTTTATCTGTAAAGTAGGGATACTACTCATTTGTTGTTGTTTAGTTGTTTCAGTGGTGTCTGACTCTTTGTTATCTCATTTGGAGTTTTCTTGGCAAAGCTCCTGGAGTGGTTTGCCATTTCCTTCTCCAGTTCATTTTACAGATGAGGAAACTGAGGCAAACAAGGTTAAGTGACTTGTCCAGGGTCACACAGCTAGTAAGTGTCTAAGGCCAAATTTGAACTCAAGATGAGTCTTCCTGACTCCAGGCCAGCCACTCTATTCAATGTGCTGTCTGGCTGCCCAGCTATCTCATAAGGTAGTGAGAAAAGCATTCTGCTGACCTTAAGGCATTACACCAATGTGGACCATTATCATTATGATTGTTCTTCACCTCATTCTTCTCATTATTTAGGTTGGAGCACATACAGAAATGGTCCAGGGAAAAGTTGCTCTCCTACTCTGACTATTATTATTTCGTTTTTCTCATATCCTTTGACGGAGCTCAGACAGAAGCAATCCTGGGATAGGTTGTCTTCCTGCTGATTTTCTTTCATATTCAATGTTCTATGGACCACTGCCCATGTGGAGAAAATAACTGCTTTCTGTAGTTGAATAAAAGTATTGAGATGTCAGCTTCTGTTCTGGAGGCTCACGGAAAGCATCTGGGAGACAACCGCAGTGGCAGGCAGGACGTACCTCCATCTGCTCCCCCAGGATTTTGATTTCACCCCCTTTATATTTTAATATAAAGAGCCCTGGACTGTAGTTCAAAATCCAACACCCCTTTATATTTGAAAAACCTTCTGTTCACATAGCTTGGAGACTGAGGATCTGGTATTGACATTGGCAGTGGCATTGAATGATAGTAACGGTAGTTAGCATTTATAATAGCACGTGGGCTTGCAAATCGCTTTATATGTGTTATCTCAGGGGATCCTCATGAAACCCTGGGAAGTAGGCACTATTATTATTCTCAGTTGATTCATGAGGAAATGGAGGAAACATCTGTTAAACAGGTTGTTCTTCAGTTTTCATCTATCAACGATTTACGCAGGAGATTGTGGGCACCAGTTGGGTCTGTGATCATGTTCCAGTTTTAGTACAGTTTACTGGTTGAGCCCACAAGAGTATTTTTTATTTTTTTTCCAACATTTTTAAGATTTTGAGTTCCAAATTTTTTTCTTCCTCCTTCCCTTCCCCCCTCCCCAAGATGGCAGGCAATCTGATATAGGCTATACATGTACAATCATATATTAAACATATTTTCACATAAGTGATGTGTCCACAAGAGTATTTTGAGGTCTGTATTTGTAGTATGTGGGGTTTGCCACATGTTGGTCCATGAAAGAGTGACCTTCTAATGCATAATTCTAGCTAGCAGGTCATGTCTTGGTAGGTATTGGGTGCTAAATTTGTATTGCCTGATGGGATGCATCCCACAGCTTCTTCCCACACTTTCTCTCATTAGCTGCATTGATCATGAATTCATGGTAGATAGAGAACTGGGGTTAGGAAGACTTTAATTCAAATCTGGCCTTAGACTCTTACTAACTATGTGATCCTAGGGAGATCACTTAATCCGTCTGCCTCAGTTTCCTCATCTTAAAATAGGGATCATAATAGCATCTATCTCCCCAGGTTGTTTTGAGAATCAACTGAGATAATATCTGTAAAATGCTATGGAAACCTTACAGTGTTACATGTTCAGTCATTTTTAGTTGTGTCCAATTCTTTGTGACCCCATTTGGGGTTTTCTTGGCAAAGAAATTGGAGAGGGTTGCCATTTCCTTCTCAAGCTCACTTTACAGATGAGGAAACTGAGGCAAACAGGAGTAAGTGACTTGCCTAGGGTCACACAGCTAGTAAGTGTCTGAGGCCAGATTTGAACTCAGGAAGATGAGCCTTCCAGAATCCTGGCCCAGGACTCTGATCACTACACCACCTAGCTGCCCCAAAGTGTTATATAAATGATAGTATTACTAGCATGATGATAATCATGATTAAATCTGGGTTCCTTAAGAGTGACCCTTTTGGGGGGCAGCTAGGTGGCACAGTGGATAGAGCACCAGCCCTGAAGTCAAGAGGATCTGAGTTCAAATCCGGCCTCTTACCAAACACTTGACACTTACTAGCTGTGTGACCCTGGGCAAGTCACTTAACCCCAATTGCCTAAAAAAAAAAAAGAATAACCCTTTTGGGATACCAAAATTTAAGATTCCATAGTTTATGAGTGACCCTGAGCACGTGGGGTTTCATCAGTCATGTGCCACATTGGCGGGTTTTCGTAAATGTGTGCCTAGTCTCCCCAACAGATACTGAGTGTATTGACGGAAGAGTGTGACATATTTATATGTGGATTGTGATGTATTTATTATTTATACATTTGCTTTAATACAGGAATGCCTGTGGTGATATTTCTTTTGCCCTGCTGTTAAGTAAATGGTTATGTTTAAAAAAAGAGAATAACTCTTTTGTGACTTCTTATTATTCTATCTACCCACTTTGTTCTATAGAAAAGCAGCAGTGTGGAGTGGGTGGGAGTAAAGAGCCCTGGAGCTCAGCTATATCCCTGCCTCAGTATATTACCTTATTACAAGTCTCTTAATTTCTCATTTCCTTCAACTACAAGAATGGAGAGAATCAACCCTCTCTTTTAGGGATTCTGTGAAGAGAGAATGGGGTACTCATTTCAGAGATGAAAGTCCTATAGAAACTTTTGGGATTGCTGCTATTATTTAAAATTATGTTTTAGCATTTATGAGGTGGCTTGTCTCTCATAATGACCTAGAGTTAACCCTCCCAGCCACTCATAAGCCTTTCAAACAGAAAAATTCAGTTACTGGATGACTTGGTGCTTGGGATCAGATAACTTGCCTAGGATTTGACATAGACCTGGAAGGAGGCAAAGCTGTGTGCAGGGACCCAGGAGTCTGGCCTCCCAGGCGCCGCTCTCCAGACAGCTATTCTGAACTCAGAGGCTGGAGAATCAGCAAAAGCTGAATTCAGACCAGGTCAGCATTCCCCTCCCCGTCCCTCCCATCACTAGCCATAAAACAGGCTCCAGTGCCATCCACTCCTTGCCCGCCAGCTCTAGAAGGTCCATAGAACTGATCTCCCCTCTTATCAATCTCCCCTAAGTGCTCAGAGCCATCTGCTTCCTCAGTGAGATCGGCGGGTGACATTTCTAAGGCTGACCCTTCGTCACAGGTCCTGGGTGTTGGATTTATTTACCAGCAAAGCAGAGGACCAGAGATATTTGCTGCCTTCAACACGAAAGCACCACAAGGATGCAGGAAATTGGAGGGGAGGGGGCACCTTCCATTTTACTGATGGCTATGGCTATTTTTTTGCTCTGAAGTCTGAATGTGGCTCCTGTAGCAAAAAGAGCTTGCTCATTTGGCACAGCTAATTTTATAGGTCCCTTGCTCAGAGAAAACAAACAAGGATCTCTGTCAGGAAATGCTGTGGCACCATGGCATCTAGCTGTGAGAGACCCTGAAGGCCATCTGGCACACTGGACTTGGAGTTAGGAAGGCCAGATTTCATTCGAATTATGCTTCAGATGCTGTGTTACCTTGCGTAAGTCACTTAAACCCCTCTGTGCTTCAGTTTCCTCATTTTACAAAGGAGGAGATCCACCCTTAAGTTTCCTTACAGTCTTTCCCAGGATGACTTCAATGACTGTCAATCAACTCTTCCTGGGAGGTTCCTCCCTAAATTCAACCCTAAAACTAGGGTTTATGACCTGGGGTCTGTGAGCTTTTTTTTAAAAAAAAATTTAATAAGTATATTTACAAATAATTGTTTTCCTCTGTAATCCTATTTATTTTATTCAGTTAAAAAGAAATCTATAGGCTTCGCCAGACCACCAAAGGGGCCCATGACACAAAACACAAAAAATATCAAGAACCCCCGCCTAAGAAATCCTTTGTGGTACAGGACAACATTTCCTCTCTTATTCTGCCCTCAGGGGAAAGGGAGAATGGTTGCTCACTCTCTCCAACATATATGTGGGAGAAATGGAATTTCTTGGTGAACTTTAGGGGAAAACTGGCGATGGATATGTTTTTTAGAGTCTCTGTTAGGTTTAATTTAGCTATGGGGGCCTCATCACGTGTGTGTGTGTGTGTGTGTGTGTGTGTGTGTATGTGTGTGTGTGTGTGTGGTGGTAGGCAATAGCAAAGACTGCCAGGAGTCGGTCTAGTATGAATATGTCTCACCGATTAGATAAAGATGATCAGGAAACGGATGGGACATCTGAGGCCATTCTGGCCTGGGGAAAGGAAGAGTCCGTTTGGCAGCCTTTGAGTTTCTGATTAAATTCTTTTAGATGCCATGTGCTGGGGGTAGGGGCAGAGTGTGACAGTACTAAATGTAGCTAAAATTCAATCTATCAATCAGCTTTTATTAATTGTCTACTATTCATCAGGCACCGTGTTAGGCACTGCCAAGACAGAAGAGAAACAGTGGCTGCCCTCAAAGAACCTACATTTTTTTTTGGGGGGGAGAAATAATATGTGCACATATTAGAATATGCAAATGGATACAAGGGGATATGGGGCATGGAGGACCCTAGCAGCTGGGGAGATTAGGAAAGGTTTCATATAGGAGGGAATGCTTGATCTGACTCTTGGAGGAAACTAGGGATTCTAAGAAGCAGAGGTCAGAAAGGAGTGTGCTTTAGGCAGGAGGAATCTTTAGTGCAAAGAAATGGAGTATTGTGTACGAGGTACATTCCCAACCACGGTCAACCAGCCTTGGCCTTGAAGAGTTGAGGACGGACAGGCTGCCTCTAAACAGAGGGCACGATAATTTTGGTTCAGATTCTCTGGCTGGGGACAGAGGGGAAGGGGACCAGAGAATGGGACAAGTGTACTTGTTGGGAAGCTTTTCTTTAAATCAAGCTAAAATCTGCAACCTCTACCCACCATTCCTAGTTCTGGACTCTGGGGGCCAAGCATTACAAGTCTAATCTCTCTTCTATATGACAAATCTTCAAACAGCTGCGGCCTGCTATCATGTTCCCCTGAAGTCTGCTCTTTGCCAGATAAACAGGTTAAACCCAGTTCCTTTGAAAGACTCTCCTATAGCATAGTCTTCTGTCCCCTCAACATCCTGGTGGTTCTCCTCTCTGACTTGTCAAAGTCCTCCTTATATAATGTGGTATCTAGAACTGAGCACAATATTACAGATGTGGTCTGATGAGGGCAAAATATCGTTCTTCTGAACAGTAGGTGGGGAGAGACTTCATATCACCTTACCTTCCAAAGGATCTCCATTCACCAGCCATTGGATAGTGGGCTTAGGGTTTCCATTGGCCCGACACACCAGCCTCCCGTCTTCACCTGGGGCCAGGATAAGGTTCTTGGGTTCATCTAGCCAATAGGGAGCGGCTGGAAGACAAGGACAGCCATAGGCCAGACAGTCAGATGGGATGGGGAAAGAATAAGAAAGCCAAGACAACGGCCCCTCCAGGGAGGAGGCCCAGACCTGTGAGCGCTGCTTCTTAAACTGATGCCTGGCTCTCCCCAGGCTGACCTGGTCCCACTTTTATTGACAATAGTCAGTCAGCAAACACATCTTTGGTTGGGGGTCTGGATAGCACAGAATAGTGATCTGGCATGTCTATATAGGACTTAGAATGGGTGAACATGCATTAAGCTGGTCGGTCTGGGTTGTTATTTGCAAGGCCATCTTGGCTCTCCCTGGGTAGCTCCTCAGCTTCCTTTGGATGGGGTCTCAGCTGCCCCTGAGTAGATCCTCATCTGGTTTCCTTTTTGCTGGTTCCTTTCACCTTTGGATTTTGCTTGAGGTGCTTGTGGCACCAGTGAGACTAATTATCTTCAAACCAAGAAACACCATGCCATGATTAATAGACTACCTTCCTGACCCTGGCCAGCAGCTTTGCAGAAGCGAACCCAAGGGGATGCTGGATAAGAAGGTGGATGGCTCAGTACAACCAATCCTCCTGCTATAAGAAATATTCCAAGCCCACATCTTTCTGAGAGCAGTGACTTCACCATGTTTGTACGTGAAATGAAACCTCACCCCTTTGTTTTGTTAGCTGGGTTATCAATGACATTCCTTTTACCTCTCTCCTAAAAGAAGCATAGCATTAACCCATATATACAGAGAAAATTGCAAGGCAGAGACAACACACCAAGGAACAGGAACGCAAAATGAAAAAAAAATACCAACACAACATGCCAACAGGCTCTGTGGCTGTGATCCAAATGGTGATGGTGGGTTAGGGGGATGATGGAGGGAAATCTGCCTGATGAGGGGAGGGGCCACAGCCATTACGGAGAAGTGGGCATAGATTTCTCTCTCTTTCTCTCTTACCTGTGTGAACATGTATGTGTGAGTGTGCGCGCGCGCACACACACACACACACACACACATATGCTACCCATCCACTCACAGTGGTGAGCAGACGACCTGCTGGTGGATGAATGCTCAACAGCTCATGGTGTTTTGGGTGGCTCTCCTGCCTCCACTCTCAGGAAGAGGAGGGCTGGTGGCAGTAGTGGTGGCAAGGTTGGGGTGGAAGGAGTTGTTGGACAGGCAAAATAATCATAATGAGAAATACACACAACGTACCCTTTACTCTCACCGAGATCGTGTGCCGAATGCTGCCCATCTTGTTGGAGGCCAGACAGAAATATTCCCCAGAGTCTTCCTCGGAGACATTGGTGATACGCAGGGCCTTATTAAAGTTTTCAAATTTGACCTTGCCAGCTGGGAGGTCCCCACCTTTCTTGTACCATGCGATGTCTGGCGCAGGCCTAGGAGGGTCAAACCCATCAGGAGATAAAAGATGGACACGTTAAGCTTTTGCTGGGGATTCTGTAGAAAGCTGGACTAGACTATCTATAAAATCTCTTGCAAGACTCAGTCGATACTGGGGGCCCCTAAGTGGCTAGCTTAATGAAATGACCCTTCCCCTTTCCCTTTTGGTGGGAAATGAGTATTTACTACTATATCTGGGGTATTATAAACCTCCAAGGTATTTCAGGTGAACACTGTTGGTGAGGCAGTAGATGACGTTAGGCATCATTTACCTAACCTGGGAGGAAGCCGGTGGGGAAGACTACCAAGCTGGGACCTATAGGTGAAACATTTAAGTAGGCCCAAACTTGGGAAATGGGGCTGGGAAGCACTGACCCCATGAATTGGTGGGGGGCTAGTAGGAGTAACACCTTTGAAGTGAAAGAGTTGGACTTGAGACCCAGTCCAGAGTCACCTAGTGTAGCTAAGTGGCATGCCTTCAAGGGTAGACCTACAGTCTGGTTAGCTGTCCACAGACCTTGTTAGCGTAAAGCTGTGCTATAGATAAGGGGTGTCTTAGGATAAGATTCTTGGGCTCTGTAACTTGGCAATTTTGGACTCCAAAAGTTCATATTATTTCAGTTTCTTTCCCTTAGTGACTAAAAATGTCTTTCTGAAAGATCCAACCTTTTTCATCAACAGACTAGGAAAGAAAGGGGGCATTTGTGTGAAGGCCAGAGAATGTGGAATGGGAAGAGACTTGGCAATCCCCAGAGACCTAAGGACTGATGGCTGCAGTTGAAACAGAAGAGGTCTTGATCCCCAACAACTCGGGGTACTGGCCTGGTATTGAGTTTCAAAAAAAAGAAAGAAAAAAGAAAAGTCTAGGTAGCACTGGACCTAAGCACTGCTGGCAGAACACTTTCCTGCTGATGTCATTTCTTTGCAACTGGGTTTTCTTTTTTTTTTTTTTTTGCTTTCCTTGGGTGGGGAGGAGGTGTGCTTCCATTTCTAACTCCAATTCCAAAAGTTAGATCTCATTTCTAGGGGAATATCAGAGCACAGAGAGATGGCGTTATATATCCACAGTGACACAGTGCACCGGCACCAAATCAAGGCAGAATTTCTGCCTCCTTTTTCTCTTCTCTTTACCCAAATAACAGGGTCATTGGGATGGGACAGAGACAAGCTCCAGCTCGGGATTTAGCTAGCTCGCAATCTCACTTTCGATACCAGCTACAGAATGAAATCCGGATAAAGCCCCTTTCCCGACTCTCTGAACAAAGCCAGGAAGAAGGGTCTGAGTACAGACACAAATGGTACATACACCCCTGAGGCGATGCACTCCAGCAGCAAGTCCATGCCCCTCAACACCATCTGGCTGCTCGACGTGCCCAGAGGATACATGAAGCTGGGCGTCCTTTCTGCAACTCCTCGGGCTGAAACGGGACAAAGTATGCTCCTATGAGCCACCTCCTTGGAAAGTCAAGGAGGTGGCATAGTTTGGCTGGAGAGAAGTCACCATTGTGCCCATGTCTTCTCTCATCCTAAGAAACCTGGTTCTGGATCTTGTGCCAATTAACCTTCTTCCTAAGTTGTTAGGGCACCAAAGGGAGAGAGAGAGAGAGACCTGTTAGCCAGCTAGGTCCCATCTGCCCTTCCCTTACACGTATGTGGCTCTACGTTCTGATGAGATGTCATGAAGAATCATCCTCTCATTGCCCAAAACCCACCTTTACTCCTCCAAAGGGCAGAAGAGGGGGGTAAGGGGGTGTTATGATAAGACCATTCCGCCAATAAACCTAGCCATGTTCTGCAAGTCTAGGAATTGGTGTGGCATATCCCCACTCCTGTAGCTTGCCCTTCCTCCTAGAGAAAGGAAATGGTAAAAGAAAGGCTAGCACACAGATCACCCATGGGATACATGCATAACATGCTCTTTGGGACCCTGGAGACACAGGTCAAGGATAGAGCTTCAAGGACACAGACACAATCAGAGACACCAGGAAAGAGTTATTAATGGGTTAGAGTTGATATGGAGAGTTAATAAGCAGGAATCGTAGGCATCGCATCCGCTCTGGGACCAAAACCAGTCTGTACTTTTACTAATGGCTCTGAAAGGGGGTGGAGGTAAGAGAAGAGAGTGTTAATTAGAAGTAAGATGAGGAGGAGGGGGTGTGAGGGGGAGATAACCATTCCTTTGGAGAATATGATTTACTATTCATCTAGGCTCAGAAAGAGCTTACATGTTAGTAATGGTCTGAAATGAATGAAATGCCTTTTTGTTGTGCTCCTGTTTTAAGGGCCAAATGTCTCAAAGATTTCAGCACTGTGGAATGGATAGTAACACGGATGGTGGATGCTCAAGTGAGAAGAGTCCACATAGTATGGTGGACCCTGCTCACCTGGGCTGGGCCTTTCTTACCATAGCTATTTGCAAAGGACTGTGATAAGAGAGTTTTGCAAAAGAAGTGGGAAAGATGGTATGAAGACATCTCCCAACAAGAAGCCACAAACCAGAAGACAAAAAGTGGGGAAACCATTAATCTCCGACCACTCAGGAAAGGCTAGCTTGGAGCTATGGCATTAGGGAGGGGGCAGAGCTCTCTTCTTGGTGGGAGATACAACTTAATGGGCCCCATCCTGAGCTGCCAGCGGCTGTGAGCCCCTCAGAGATGTGTGAGGTGAAGAACAAAGTTGTTCATCGAGAAGGATTTAATCAATTCTGTCATGGAGAGGGGCAGGGTGGTCTGCAGGGACCCTCTGCATCTGGGTAATTGGCATTCCCCAATCAGAAAAGTGACTGAAGTAATTTGTTATCCTGGGCTATCCCTGTCTAGAACCAGTGGGGGCTCCCAGCCAGAGGCCCCCAGCCCCTCCCAGCTCCAGTCTGATGGGAAGGATCAAGGGCACACTGGGAGGTGAACTACCCCAGTGTAAGCGATGAAACCTTTCAAAGTAAGGATAGAGGGGGAGGGAAATAAACCCATGATGGGGGAAGTATTTCAAGGCACTTGCTTTGTTTCTCTCTTTGTTAAGAGAAGGACAAAGGAAGAAAGTTATTCAAGTTTACATCAGCTGTTGGAGAGCAGGGATCATCTTCTTCCATATTGCCACAGCACCTCACAATTTGAGGTGTCTAGGAATCCCTTACAGAGGCTCTGAAAGAGCCCAAGTTAGACCCCAAAGAAACCAGGTTGTAAGTAAAGAAAGGATCTGTGTTCTGTCCTAGAAGCATGCTCCTCCTTAGGCTATGGGTGATTTTGGCCATTAGGTGGATAACTGTGAGGACAGGGATGAGTTTGGGAAAAGCTGGGGGTGGGGAGGGGGTGTATTTTATACTTGGTGGGCTAGCGAATTTCTGAACCTTCTGTAGGACTGTTAGGTGATGATAAGAATGATAGTGATGGGCAAGAGGAAATACTGAAATGCTTCTAAATGTTGCCTTATGGACATTCCTTAGGTGCCTCCAATCCATATAGGAAGAATTATCCTCACTTAATATCAGCTGTTCCCTCCATCCCTGCCAACCCTCTGTCCCACAAGATACTCTCTAAAGGTACTCATTCATATATACACTCACACACATAAACGCTACAGGGACCTCTACAATGGATTAATCCATTACATTGTTAATTGGTTACTGCATGCACACCATCTTGATTTTCAGCACCTGTCCCTTTGGAACTAGGGGATGCTAACACCTAAAGGAAGCTCTCACTCCTGCTCACTACCGCTGAATCCTCAGTCCATTCTTCATGATGGTGCAAGATCAAAGGTGTTCAGGAAGAGTGGAATTTTAGAGCAGAGAGGGGACTCTTGCTTCAGGGTCTGTGAGTTCTCAGATGATAGGATTATAGGGCTATAGAGCTAGGGCTGAAAAGATCCTTAAAGACCTGACTGGAAATTCTTTCCAGGTACAGGCTGTAATCCTGAAATCTAACTTGTGATTGCCTGATGGTGACTAGGAAGTAGTAGCGTACACACATTTGACTAGCAAAGTATTAAGAATGGGAAAGAGAAACTATGCCTTGTGGGTGACTACAGTAGGACAGACTTAGGGGAGACTCCAGGAAGCCTAACCCATCTGATGGTCTTGGAAGCCAGTGGAACCAAGGATGTTTGTTTCCAGTGTCCAGGTGAGGGGCTGTTGTCTCCTAATTCAATACTTCAAGGATCTCTAATTTCTTTGGTCTGAGGTCTCTCTCACCCAGAGCAGACCCAAATCCCCTCTAAGGCTCAGTAGATGGGGGCCAACAACTCGACATTTAGTCTTACCCTTTAATGAAGAAGCTGAGGTAATCTGATTCTCAGAATATAGTCTGTTACCAGGCCCATACTGGGGGCCTTTTTAGACTTCAAGGTTCCCACCATACCACCAGGAGGCAGCAGAGTGGGACTTGGGTGGAGGCATCATCACACAAACTATAAAAGGACATAGTAATACTTAGAAAACAGAGTTCTGGTGAGGAAAAGGAGGGAACTTTAAGGACTGACCAGTTCACTTGTGTTCAAGGGTTTGAAAACATGGACACACATTAGTCATCAATACTACCTATATCACTCTACCTGACTTCCTCTTCTCTCTGGTCCCCCTCTCCATAGAAATATGGCTGGTATTAATGTGCTGGCATATCCATAGGGCTGTGTGCCAAAACACTGGGGGAAACAGCTTGCTGGTGCAAATGGCCTCTTTTTGTATTGAGTGACACTTTTTGGAGTACAGCAGTGCTGAAGGAGGCAGCTTTTCAGGCCAGGTCTACTCATCAGCTATTTCTCTGCCCAAATCAGAGACAGGTTGCAGTCAAAAGCCGAAGACCAAGTAGGAGAACCTGCTGAACTTAATGAGCTTAGCTCAGCACACACTTCCTCTCAACTATTCTTTAACTACCCAGAATTCTCATGCCCTTGGCCAAGATTCAATCAATGCTGGCTGGTTCTTAAGCAAATTGGGAGACCTGAGCTGCAAAGAGGAGCCCATGTGGATTAGAAGGCCTTCCAGTGTGTGAAAGGGCATCCTTATTTTGGCCATAGGGGACACAGAGGACTTGGAGAGATATGGACATAATTAAGGGATGAAAGATCCTGGAGAGAGAACAAGATCATAGACCTAGAGCTTTTGAAAGGGCCTTAGTCTGATCCAAGGCCATCATTTTACAAAGGATAAAATGTGATCAGTAGCAGCTGGAGGGCTTCAGGTGAAACTGTAGCTTCAGGGTCAATGGTCTTGGAAGTCAGTGGAGGGAGGTACATTACTTTCATCTCTGGAGAAGCCAATGCATTCTGAGGGATTTACATTATATGAGATCGGTATCTCCTTGAGAGGAAATGGCAAACTACTCCAGTGTCTTTGCCAAGAAAACCCCAAATGAGGTCACAAGGAATCTGACCCAACTGAAATGACTGAATGACAACAAAAATCTGCTTGAAAGGAAGAGTGATGATCAGGGCACCCTCTCCCTTATTAGAGGCATTAAAGCCACCTATCCAGCAATGACTAGGGTTAGCCTAGTAGTAAGAGGAGAAATACAGTGATTTCCAAATACCTATTCCAGATACACAGTATTGCATCATATCATCTGGGTCACCTTTCCTGCTCCTCAGGGTTGGGATGCTATTGCTACCAAAAACCTTGGCATCATCAAATGGTTCAACATCAGAACCTAATATGATTTTGTTGGTGGAAATGACATTAAAGAAGAAGCTGAAAATCATCTGTTTTACTGCTGTGCCCTTAGGACCATGGGGTCTTTCCATCTCACTTGCAGCTGAAACCTTCCATTAGATTGTAAGCTCCTTGAGGGCAGGGACTGTCTTTCTCTTTTTCTTACTTGTATCTCTGTCATTTAGCACAGCACCTGGTACACAGTAGGTGCTTAATAAATGTTTACTGAATTGAACTGTGGTCTCCTCCATTGGAACGTGAGCTTCTTGAGTGCAGAGGGTCTTAAATTTGGATTTGTATCCCTAGCACTTGGTAGGGTGTCTTGCACATATGTGCTTAAATTAATGCTTCATTCATTCAATGGCACCTAACTCACCATTTCAGGGAATCCTGGTGCTGAGCTACATCTGTGACCAGAAAGTACATAAGTACATCTCATGTCCTGCCTGTTGCTGTATTTGGTTAGTGACCATCAGGTTCTACAGAGATCTGGGCCATCAGGGCATGCCCTTTCCACACTTCTTTAGTTCTCAACCAAGTGTTGATACGCAATTAAGTAATAAGCAATACCCCTTCTGCTGCAGAGGAATGACCCAGATTGCTAAAGGACTTAGAACCCCCCACTCTACCTCCACCATAGAAAATGTATCAGGTATTGCATTTGGTTACCAAAAGGAATCTGAAGGAAGAAGACAACCAGCAAGAATCCTGGACCCAAGCCATCTCTGCAGCTTTGGAGCCTTAAGACAGTATCGCTGAGTCACAGGGCGAGAA